CTGAACTTTTGTTGTGCAAGCCCCATAGATATTAACTTATTTTAACATTACATGTAACTTATTATCATTGTTATTTGGAGATATAATTTTTAAAAGCTACCATACACATAGAGGAAAAGAATAATAAATTGTGGCTTTAGATTTTATAATATAGACAAGTGACCTATATATTTAAGTTCTTTGCAATGTTTCTAGTTTCTTTCAGACATTTTTATTTTACAAACCTGATTTTAACAATTCATAACACAATTTATTTTATGTAGTCAAACTTTTAACATAACACTTTAAAAATGATTTGCGGTTTAACAAAACATGTTTAAACAAAACAGAATCTATCAACCTAAATAACTTATAATAAAAATAAGTAGGGTAGCGTGGGGCTAATTCAAACAAAAACATTGTTTTTATCTTTTTAATTTTTTTCCTTTAGCTTTTGCAAAAATATTTTTTTTTACATCATATGTGCCAAGTAAAAGTTTCAAGCATTTTTAAACAAAAACATATTATATTTGCAGAGTATTTGCTGATACAAAAATATGCCTTGTTAAAAATAGCCCCATGAATTAAAATAGCCCCATGAACAAAAATCAATGTGCACAAAAAAAAAGCTTGTTAATATCTTTTTTATTTTATTTGCATGATATCTTTTTAGGTAACATGTATTTCCAAGTTATTCCTAATATCAATGGAGCAATAATGGGCATATTTGAAGTAATATGCAAGAATAAAATTATACATAAAATGCATATATTTTCTTTTTTGTAAATATATTTGAAATTTTAAGCAAATTTTTTATTTTTTGAAATCTTTTCTATGAGTTAAGGTAAGTTTTTCAGTGAGAACCTTGCCACATTCTTGTTTTCTTCCTTTTCTTTTATTGCTATTAGAGTTTTTTGGAAGAAGTTGCGGACAACATAAAATAGCAACTCAAAGTTCACAGTGATCTTTTATACTTTCCGCTGTCACCAGCACTTTTTTTGCCTGCTTTTGATGGATGTAACAGAGATGGACCTGAGGTTCTAAAACCAAATATTTTACAGCCAAGTTAGTCTCAGTAAATTTGAACCAACATATGGCGACCTTTATAATGCTGAAATTATGAAACCTGAAGAAACTCACAAAAAAATCATAAAAATTGACCAATGTATGGCGAGATTATTGGTAGAAATTGCGCAAAATGTCTCTCCGTATTTGCATTGTTTTAAAGAAACCAATGTCTAAAGGTTGTAAAGTGCGACTGCTATTTGGGGGAAAGCAAAGGAGTGCAATCTAAATTGAAAGTTATCAGTAATACTGCACTATGTTATCAACAAGCCTAAACAAAAATAAATTAGAATAAATGTTGTTAGTTATAAGATAAGTTGTTTACATTGTTAAATTTTGCCTCTGATCCAAGAATATATGAAAGATGACTACTATGAACATCCATAAATAGTGCTATATACACATCTTTTCCACAAATTTTGTAAGGAATAAAAACTATAGTTATTAAAAAAATATAAAGATTATAGTTATTAAAAAAACAATAGAAATAGAAAATCTAATTTTATTTGTGTTTGGTAAAAAATCCGTTCTCATCCAGATTATAGTATCGGTCAGGATCTTTATCTAAATCATACTTATCATAAACTCTTTTAATAAAAATTTGTTGCATTTTTCACAGAAAAAAATTTGGCTCTTAAAATGGTCATTTCTAGAGTTCTTTTAGGTATTTGAGAAAATCATTTTTCAAAGCTTAGTAAGAAGTCTAGTTTAGTCTGATAAGTTTCTATTTCACATGGCCCGGTTACTATCCCAGGGAAATACTGTACCTTCACAACTGTTTGAAATTTGGGTGACAATTGTTTTAATGTCTTTTCAATTTAGTGGCCAACCAAAATCAGAAGCATATTCTATCAAGGATACAATTTATTCCTCTTCACTAAAAGATAAGGCTGTTGGATGCCTTTTACTATGTTTTGACTTTCTAGATACATGGTCATAGAGGGTAGTGATGGAAATGTTATAATTGATGCAGCCGCAGGTATTGAAGCATCTTAAATTTCTATTATGGCTAGCTCAATATCTTGAAGTATATGAGGCAGATGATTTTTTTTCTTTATAATGACAAGCCATTATAAAAACTGAAAAAATTCAGAAAAAAAAAAAAAAAAAAAGGACATTCAAACACAACCAATCACTGCCAATCACAGTATAAATATGACACAGTAAAAGTTAAAAAGTAAAATAAAGAAACTAAGTAAAACAATGTTTATCTGTAAAAACATAATTTAAGAAAATTATTTGGTTGACTTGTCTTCTTCCTGAAAAAACAAATGAAAACAGAAAGTTATTCAAACAGAAACCACAATAGTTATGTTACAATGTGAATAAGTTTTAATAAATAAGTTTATAAGTAATTAATTAAATTAACAATTTATAACTTATTAAATAGATGCTACAATATAGGAATACTGACCAATTTCAGCAATGTTTGGATTAGCTCGGTAAATGTCCAGATTAGCCCCATTTTTTCAATTTAAAAATTCCGCTGGAATAGTTTTAATTACCAAAAAATGGAATACTGAAACAAACTCTACGTAGAACTCTGATATCAAAAGCTATCTTTGTAAAAAAAACATAACAATAAATTAGTTAAAACGTTCAAAAAATTTTCTTTATGTCTACAGATCTACTACAGATCCAGCATATTTGTTTTTTTGTTCAGGCTCTAGGTTTAAGATGCAGAAAGTTTATATTTTATTGGTTTTCTTGATACTTTTATGTTTTCATGGCTGGTCAAACACAAACTGTATTTTCGATTTCATCACTAGGGGTCGTCCATAAATTACATCACGCTTAGGGAGGAGGAGAGGGAGAGGAGGAAATTTTGTGACGATTTGTTACAAGGGAGAGGGGGTTTTGACGCAACATTTTTTTTTTTTAGAGAAGACTTTCTTTTAATTAAAAGAGTATCTGACTAAGCCAAAACCCTCAGTTGATGTATCTACATGTTGATTGTAAAATCAACTACGCCTAAATCTTACTTAGTTGATGTACACTCCATTCACGGAGTAGTTACAGCCTGTTAATGGAATTTTACGGCTGTATGCGCAGTGCACATTCTGCGCTTTGAATTTATAGGGCTCAAGTGCAGAACTTTATTTAGTTGGTGCACAAAAGTGTGCAGCAACAAAAAAACAATCTTTGTGCACTAACTAAAAAAAAAAAATTTTGATACTGAGAAATAAACCTGGAACCTTCGGTTTACTAGCCGGAAGCAGAATCCACTTGGCCATGCCTACGATTCTAGTTCTACGATTCTAATTCTATTCATAAAATAATATTTTTGAATGTGTTATATGTTATTATATATTATATATTATATATATATATATATATTTTATATATATATATATATATATATATATATATATATATATATATATATATATATATATATATATATATATATATATAATATTTTGCATGTATTATATATTGGAAGAATAGATTTTTAAATTTATATCATGTTTAGGAGAGCGATGTTAATTTATACAACTTTACACTGAATTACTGGGGTGAAAAAAAAAAAATAAACAGACTGGAAAGTACTAATTAATTAACTCAAAGAAGCTCAGAGAATTATAGACATTATTGAGGAATTATAGACCCCCTTCCTCCAAAAAATGTCAAAAACTGCATGACGTTATTTATGGACAACCCCCTACAATGATTTTTTTTGAAAACAACAAAAGGGTTTTTATTGTTATAACAGAAACTATTGTAAATGGCACTTTAAAAAACTAAAACACTTTCTAGCAGCCTTGAAAATCCAAAAAATGTTTTCTCATTTGAATGACTTTTAATAAAATTCAAATAACACTAACTGTGTTTTACTTTTAATAAAATTCAAATAACATTAACTGTGAAAAATACTTCATATATTTTCAGGGTTTTTACTTTTTTCCAAAGCACTTCATTCCAATAAAAATATTAAATTATTTTTTTATTTAATATTAAAAAAAAAAATTATGTTTATATCTCCACACAATTACTTCATAAATTTATGAAGCCACTACGTCACAAAGATTACACCTGTATGAACTTTTTTTTCTCAAATAGCCTAGATGTGCTTATAAGTGTAATGTTTATATTAAAAAAAAACATATATATATATATATATATATATATATATATATATATATATATATATATATATATATATATATATATATATATGTATATATATACAAATAGTATTGCGTACTAAGGTAAGCAATCTGACATCATACTGAAATAGCCTACTGCTGGGGGCTTCAGTACATACATCGACTGACAAATAGCCTGACTCACAGTGGAGGGCTGCTACATTGACTGAGGGTTTGGGATGGGGCAGCAATTATTTCATTCATCATTCTTCATTTTTTTTCTTCTTTTTCTAAAAAAGCCGTATGGGTTAAGGTAAGCAAAAAAATTGAGCAAATGCTTATAAAAATACACTTTAGTAAGTATACATATATATATATATATATATATATATATATATATATATATATATATATATATATATATATATATATATATATACTCTAGCGCTATTAGACGCACTTTTATTACTTTAAGAAATTTTTTTTTTTACAACCTAAAACAACTTATTTCATATATTTCAAATGCGTCTAATAGCGCTTTTGTAACACATATTTATATAATAAATGTATGTATAATAAATATATACATAATAATAATAATAATAATAATATATATATATATATATATATATATATATATATATATATATATATATATATATATATATATATATATTATACATATATATATTTATTATATATATATATATATATATATATATATATATATATATATATATATATATATATATATATATATATATATATATACATATGTATATATATACATATGTATATATATACATATGTATATATATACATATGTATATATATACATATGTATATATTGGTAACTGCAACTATCTTTACCAGCGTTGAAACCCTCTTGACAGTGAGTCTTTGAGAAAGAATGTATAACTGAACACATAACCACTTGCATCATCACCAAACATAATAGGTCCTTCTCTTCCAGGACAAATTTCACAACTTAAACTAAAAAAAAGTTTATTAATAAATAAGAAAATAATTAAGACGTTATTAATCCTATTAACAAATTAGCAAAAAAACATTTTATCAAAAGTATGAATTAAAACAATTATCTAAAAAAAAAAAGATATCAAAGCAAGAATAATTAATTATTAAAACAAATAATTAATTAATTAGCAAGATAAATTGATTATCAAAATTCAAGCCATAACTAAAAAAATATTTTTTTTGAAGCAAAATGTAATCCATCAAACATTAAGTTTATATGCTAAACCAGTCAACAGATAACATAACAAATTGTTTGACAACTAAATTAAAAAAAAAAAGCAAACCTTCTTACGCATGCATGACGTAGCACACTATACAACTCCTGTTCTTCAGGGTGCTGAGTACTAACATAGCTAATATGTGATTCTTTATTAAAACTTATAAAACCAAGCTCACCAGGCTCTAGTGAGCGACATCCCTGAAGAATTTAAATAAAAAACTTGAAATATTTTTCTACTTTTTATTTAATTATTATGTTTGATATTATGATACAAAGCAAATAAATTGTTAAAAAAGTTAATTAAGTATTAAAAGAAGTAAATACAAACATAACACAGTTGATTAAGTGATAGATAAAAAAGAGAGACAATTTTATTATTTTATCAGATATAAAATATATACATGATAAACGAAAAACAAGTTAAGTGTGGTACTTTGAGAGTAATAGACTAGATTTGAATGTCAAACCTCATGATTAAGAGCTGCAAATTCTTAATATATATATGCATTATGTTTTATGGTAACCTCTTTGTGTCAATTTTTTTTTTTTGCTAACCTCTAACACTTTTAGGTTCGCAGTTAGGTCAGCATTGCCTAATTCCGAGTGTTGATATATATATATATATATATATATATGTATATATATATATGTATATATATATAAATATAAATATATATATATATATATATATATATATATATATATATATGTATATATATATATATATATTTATATATATATATATTTATATATATATATATACATATATATATATATATACATATATATGAATTTGAGTTTATTTTATATATATATATATATATTTATATATATATATATTTATATATATATATATATATTTATATATATATATATACATATATATATATATACATATATATGAATTTGAGTTTATTTTTTACAGTAATCAATAATTACAAAATTATTGATTAATAAAAACACCAGGTTTTTTTTTTAAAAAAGTTTGCACTGCAAACAGCCTAAACATTTGCATATCGTCTGCATATGGTCTAAACAATGGTCAAACTGCAAAAAGTCTAAACAATACTACATATGGTCTAAACAACTGAGTCCTTGAAGGAGTTAACTATAGGTGCATCTATAACTTTTTGTAATAAAATATTCCAATGAGTGACAATGCGATTTGCGAAGTGTTTATGTACTATGCAGTTTTTTTACATACTTTGCCATTTATGAAACCAGTTGACTGCAGCATCAACATAAAATCATGTGGCATGTGTATTGTATGTATGCAGGAGCTTTTTTTTTTAAATAAACAATTAGACCAATCATCAAAAAACAGTGAAATAACCATTAAATCATACGAATTAATAACAATTACCAATTTGTTTTAACAATATACCAATATATTTTAATGAAATCAAATATATTTTAAAGTTATACTTCACTAAAATTATTATATATTAAAATTATTATATATTAAAACTAATTTCTATATCCTTTACAATAATTTTTATTTCAAACAGAAAAAATAATTGAAGTAAAAAAATTTCTTACCTCACATGTTGATTGTGAACCAGATGATTGCTATAAAAACATTAGTTTTAAACTGTTAAATTTTTTATATATGAATATATAAAGGTAGATAAACATCCACAACATAAAGGTAGATCTACAACATAAAGGTAGATCTACAACATAAAGGTAGATCTACAACTTAAAGGTGAATGAGTTCTAAAACATAAAGGTAGATGATATCTACAAAATAAATAAGAATGAGAATCTACAACATAAAGGTAGATAAGATCTACAACATAAAGGTAGATGAGATCTACAACTTAAAACTGGATGAGGTGGTGGTGCTCAGATAAATCATGAGTTAATAATAAAAAAAATAATACACTGTAAAAAAGATAAAAAGACGTATTTTTTAAAATAGATATTTAATAAACCAAACATGTACAACCAATAAACTATTGATTAAATGCTAAACTCATTTAAAATTATGCAAAAATTAGTTGTCAACATTTTGCTTGCAAATTTAATTCTTGAGATACTAAAGATTGCATTACAAAAAAACAAAAAAAAACTACGCAGTGTTATATTTAAACAATATTTTCTTTTGTAATGCTAAACTTTTTTTATGCAAAGATTATCACTAAGTTTAATTCAAAGTTTTTCAGCTTGAAAAACTTTGAATTAAACTAGCTATCTTTAGGGGCTTCAGTGCATAGATCAACAAAGGGTTTGGCTTTGGGAATGAAGTATCTATGTATGTAGGATATATTAAAACAAAATTTTTTTTTTTTTCAAGGTCATATTTTTCTACTCTGTTTAATTAAAGTGCTTGGCAATTATTAAATTAATAAAGCCAATATACAATATAAATTATACACGCACACACAAACACACACATATATACTTATGTTTATATTATATTAACTTGTATTAATATAAATAAACATATTTATTTTTTTATAGAAATTATAAATTTTGACTTTCTTCTAACACTTAGGTGTTGTCTAAAAGCAAAATTATTAAATTAATTGTGAATGAAATATTTTTTAAATTACCTCAAAAACGCAAACCTAATTGACTTGAATTTTTTTTTTCAATGCATTTATTTTTTTTTTCTATGCTATATATACTGTTTTTATTTTTCAATTTTACTATATATTTTTTAGTCAACATACGTTGAAATAGATAGAACATGCGAGGAGTGCCCATACATTGACTGATTTAAATAGATAGAACATGAAGGAGTGTTCTTACATCAACTGAAATAGGTAGAACATCAAACAAGTTTCGCTACATTGATTTAAAATTTTGTCTAGGGTAGACAATCTTTTTATTATAAAAAAAAAAATTCTAGTCTTGTTTTAATTTTTTTTTTTATGACAACAAAATATGGTAAAACTTTTGTCCAACCTCTCCCCAAGTTGTGCATGTCTGTATGTGTGTTTACAAAGCAAAATCAGAAGAAACTTTTTTTGTAAATAAAAAGACTGCTAACATATGCCAAAATCCTGAGTCAATTTATGTACACTCTCCACATGTTTAAACTATTTAAGTCAGTCGATATAATTTTTGAAAAAAATCTGCTAGAATCTTAGAAACTTAATTTACATAACTTTTTAACACAAAAGTCAACACAATTTTAAATACAGACACTTTATGTGCAGTTTTAAGTTTTGACACTACTCACTAATTCTATATATAAGTATCAATAACTTGTACAGACATTATTCATATGGATTTGAATTAAGACAAAAACAAAAAGTTTAATAAAGACTATCTAAATATTTACACATAGTAAAAAAAAAAGGAATAACTTAATTTTGAATTTTTTATTACACATAACTAACCTCTTGCATTGGTCGCTTTATTTGTTTAATCTCATCTTCTTTATTTTCCACATAAACATAACTCTGCAACCTTATGAAATATATTAATATTATATTTATATCTCTCTACCTCTCTCTTTATTTATTTTTTATAAATGAAAATACCAAAACACAGTAACTTTAAAAAGTTTTAACATTTAAAACTTTATAAACATAGTTTAATGCGAGAGTTTCTGTCTTTTGTCTCAGTAATATCTCAAAAAATATTACACAATTTATGTCACAGATTACATGAAACCGTGCAGAGTTACAGTAACTATGCATAACAGTAACTATAAAATATACGATTAAAAAAAACAACTCAAAAATGATATATATATATATATATATATATATATATATACATATATATATATATATATATATATATATATATATATATATATATATATATATATATATATATATATATATATATATATATATATAATATATATATATATATATATATATATATATATATATACAGTGGCAACAAAATAAATAGCAAAGATTGAAGTTTAATATGTAATGATATATTATCGAGGTATCTGAGTTTTTGAGATCTAAAATTTTTTAACCTAATAAAATATTAGTTTTAGAAGATAACATGACTGATTAAAAAAATTATTTAACTTAGTTAAAAAAAAATTAATCGTATAAATGATAGAGGTACAGAATAAGGGGGCAATTTATATAGCACACTATGTTAAAGAATTATCATTTTGTCAGTTTGCTATAAAAATCATAGAAGGTGTATAAACAGTTAACAAAACTTTACTTGAGGTAAATTAATGTTTAGTGGGGTATCCTTTTGAGTCAATAACTGCTTGACAACAACGGCCCATTGACGAGATCAATTTTTAGCATTATTTAGGCGTAGTAGCATCCCAAGCTGCCTTTATTTTGATCCAAAATTGGTCTAAATTTGTGTCAGTTGATAGATTTATGTTTCTGTCAACTTGCTTCCACAAATTTTCTACCAGATTTAGGTCTGATGACTGTGCAGACCACTTCAAAACATTAATATTGTTAGCGTTAAACCACATTTCAAAACTTTTGGCTGTGTGCTTGGGATTGTTGTCTTGTTGGAATTTCCAAAGCAAAGGATTTTCCTTGGCATAAAGTAACCTGACATTTTTTTAGTATTCCTTTGTACATGTGTCCTTTAAATTCTATGCAATGGGCCCACACCATACCATAAAAAACTGCCTTAAACAGTTGTTTAAGGCAGTGTTTCATGGTGTGGTGTGGGCCTGTTGTCACCACTATGTTTTACAGCCTTTAGAGTATACCGATTGGATGCAAAGCAATTCAACCTAAACTCGTCAGTTCAAAGCACATTTTTCCAAAAACGTAACTACTTGTATACGTCAAACAACTGACGAGATTGCGTTTTAAGACCAACAGCTTTTTTGGGCAACTCTTCTAAATAGCTTATTAGTGCATAAGCATATATATATATATATATATATATATAAATATATATATATATATATATATATATATATATATATATATATATATATATATATATATATATATATATATATATATATATATATATATATATATATATATATAGCCCTCGGAATTAGAGTCGACATTTGGCAAAAAAAATTGCCGGCCTTGTTTCTATGTTTTATGGTAAGGCCTTTGTATTTTTTTTTGCCAAACTGATGCTGACCTCAAAAAGATTGAGGTCGGCAAATTATTGCAAACACCATTTTTTCTTATTCCAAGGGTTGTATATATATATATATATATATATTATATATATATATATATATATATATACATACATAGATATATATATGTATATACATATACATATATATATATATATATATATATATATATTATATATATATATATATATATATATATACCAATAAAAAGTTAGAATATAGTCACTGAACATTTATTTTCACAGGTACTGATATTTTCAAATAAAAGTTATATTTTAAAACTGATATTTTCAACTGATTATTTTAAAACTGATATTTTCAAATAAAAAATATTTCAAAATTAAAGTCACCATCTCTGATTTTCCTGATTTTTACATATTTTTATGCATATTATGTAAATAGGTTAAACTTGAAATTTCAGACTTCTAAGTACAACAGTTCAGAATTATAGCCTTAGAAACATGACACAGTGGCCCTCCTTGATTTATAAATGGTTAAAACAGACTGCTTTAGAGCGATATAACTTTTTTCACACTTTCAATAAATGTCTCATTTTTTCTCATTTTTTCTAGAACTATGTTCTGTAACTTTGGAAAAAATCCTAAAATTGCTAAAATAAGCCAAAATGAAGCTAACTGTAACATTTTTCTATTTATCCAAATCTATTTATCCAAATGTGTTTACAGATAAGTTTTCTGATTAGCTACTACTATCTGCAATAAATGGGCAAAATATAGGCAGCTTTTTGCAGTTTAGAACTCAAATATATCTAAAAGCAAAATGTCCACTCATCTAAAAACTCCAATTTTCAGCCATTTTGAGATGCTTGTAAATTTTTTTAACACTTTGCTTTGATCTAAGATTAACAGCATATAAGACCATTAGACTCAACTATCTAAAAGTGCAAACATTACAAACTTGTCAAATTCACACCAAAAATGCCAGCATTTTTAAATAACCCTTATTTTTTAATTATCAACAGCTGAATGTGTTATTAGAAACCAGTGCCCCTCTAATCTCACTACTGGCTTATGTGAGAGATACAACTAATTATATGTCATTTCTTAATAAAAAGGAAGATATTTTTGATTGCCCTCACTTTGATCTGGTCTTTATAGTAGATAGGGGCACAAATAAAGGGACAGTAACTTTTTAGAGACCTTTATTATGGTTCAAATGAAGGTCTCTAAATTAATTTACATATTTAGATACTTAATATCTAGATATCTAAATTAATTTTAAATTGAAAGCGTTATTTCTTTAAACTCTATTTTATTATAGACGATCAGTGGTCTGTATGTGGTCTGGTCAGTAGTCACACCCCCAAAAAATGATAAAAAAATTTAAATGACAAAAACTTTAAAAAGCATCTAAGTAATCTGGAAAAAGAATATTAAACTTTAAAAAAGCCTGAAAAGAGAGAATCAACTTTAGACTAAAAAAGACAAAAAATTTTATAAGAAGATGAGGAAATACATAAATATGCAAAATTTTAGCGACACCATAAATCTGGACAAAAAAAGATGAGATAACAAAGACTAAGGCTTGAATGATCAAGAAAAAAAAAGTTTAAAAAAATCAAGAGAAAAGTTTAAGCAAAAGAAAGTTTATCCTCAGAACTGGTGATGAAAAATTATAATATAGTATTTAGAGAAAGTATTAGAAACGAAACATTTAAAGAAAACAAAATACTCTGGAAGCTATAGAAAACATAAAACAGGAAATAGTTATGAATAAAACTGAAGCATCAAATCATTTAGATTTCGAGCCTGGAAACTAGAAAATAAAAAAATAAAATAAAAATCTGTAAAATCTGTAAAACATAATTCATAAAGGTTTTTTAGTGGCGGTGTTGTTCTTTAGTGGCGGTGTAACTATTGCAGCATCAGTCAGTGATCTAGCAGTTCTTCAAAAAGTTGTAACTTTTGTTATTTATAAAACTGATTGTGATTATATTGCAGCATTTTAGCAATCCATATATTATATTTTAGCAAAATTTTTAGTGAATATTTTTAACAATTTTAAAAACATACCTAGTCGTTAATACTCCACATGATAATGGTGATGCTTCAACCGTTCCACTTTCAATTTCACTTTCCGTATGATTAATACAATGGAAAGGCTGTAAATATTTAATCAAGAATGAAAAAAAAAAAAAAAAAAAATTAAATTGTCACTAAATAATAATAAACTTTTTAGACAAAATATGAGTGTAATTTAAATACAAAATTACCTTAGTACAAAACAAAATACTTGGTCCATGAAGTTCACAAAAATGACATAAAGCAATTACTGCATTCATCGCTTTTAACTCATAAATAAACTGACCATTATTAAAAATGCTTTGTTTGAATTTGCCATCATGAAAACTTTGATAATTCTTTTTTAATATTTAGAATTTTCAACAAAAATATTTCTTTATACTACATATATATATATATATATATATATATATATATATATATATATATATATATATATATATATATATATATATATATATATATATATATATATATATATATATATATATATATATATATATATATATATATATATATAGGGATACCCTCGTTATCGAGGGCACTGGGGAAAAGGCCCAACTTTTGAAAAAAAAATTTTTTTTTGCATTTTAAATAAAGATTTCTTTGAGAATTATGTTTTCAAAAAAAAATGTTTTAAGAAAGTACCTATGTCTATAAAATTTTTGATCTGCAAGTATTTGGTTTAAAAATATTTATCCACCTTCAAGTAACCTGAAAAATTACTTAAATAATTTTAAGCAATTTTTTTTATGTTTTGAAAATAACTCAAGTTACTTAAAATTCTTAAGTAACTTAAGTAATTATAAGTAACTTAAGTTATTTTCAAAACATAAATTTTACATTTTTGTGTTATAGTACTATATAAGTATAACCAAACAAAAAAAAATATAACGCAAAAAACATGTGTGAATCATTTTATCACTCAATGATGTTCTCAATTTAGTAAAAAGTCCAGCAGTAGCTAAACATCTTTTTGCTTAAACTGATGATGATGGTAAAGACTTTAAAGCATAGTACAATTTTTTTACCTTTTCGGGCAGCCATTTGATCCTTTGAATGCAGCCATTTTTTTGATACAGTCCAAAACATTAAAGGAAGCCTTGTTCATATTAAATTTGAATTTTGTGTTAGGAATTAATGAAGCTCCTCAGCCTTAACTTTTTTTATAAAAGTTCTTCAATTTTAACATTGGATGCTTCACATTCAACTTATGCTTTAGGATCTTTATGGTCATAAAAAAGACGACAATAAATATCTCTTGCTATTATTGAAAGTTCTTTTTTCTTAGGATAGTTTAAAATAGAATCTTTTTTAGCTTGATCATACTGATTTGGTGCCTCTAAACATCTTAAAAGTCCTGCAATTCCAATATTTCTTCTTTCAGAAATTTTTTTTATCATAGACTCAAAAAAAAAAAAATAGATACTGTAGCATCTTGGTCTAAAAAGAGTAATATCTCTTTTACAAAGACTGTCAGCACCAGCTTCAATAATTTCTAAATAATCTCTTAAATTCCTGTTTTCATCTCATGGCAATTGTTTTAATCTAATTGTCAGTTGGTAGCATTTCCAATGCATTAATATGCTCTAATGTTTTTCTAACTGCTGCTTCAATGTTAAGAAATCTTAAAATTATTTTATTTCATTGAATTCCAACATGTTTTTATGTCCAAAATTAAAGCCAACTCTTTTCCAAACTCATTAAGACAGCAGTGTTGAAGATTAGAGGCGACCTTTTAAAAAACTTTACAATCATTTGCATTATTTGGATTAATTGGTTTCATTATCACCATCATCAACTTCTTCAGTATCTTCATCTAAGTTGTTATAACAAGAATCTTTATCTTCTACTAGATTATTTGTTTTTTTATAAAGTTCATCAACTACTGCCAAGTGAATTTCATGAAAGACATAGTTGATAAGTTATTTGAGACAATCCTTTTCATTACACTGTTTGTTTTTCATTACACTGGCTCCATCTGTAACCATTCCAAAAATACAATTACTTAGATTTAACTCAAAACCTTTGTACTTTGTGTCAATCAATTTATGACCATCTTCAGCCTTCATTGAGCCTACAATCCTTATCATTCCAAGATATTAAACTGATTTATCTGACATAAGTAAGTTTAGGCACATATATCTTTGATTTCTATCAGAAGTCCATTCATCTAGAGTCAATGAAAATCTATCACCATTCTTATTCATATTTGACAAATCATAAACCATCTTCATTTTAAATTTAGCTCCGTATTCCAAAAATATCGAAGTCATAGCTTGCCTTGAACTTGGAGTTTTAAGACCTTGAGCAGCCCAATCTTTTTGAATATCAATACTTTTTGACAATTTATAAATGGGAATAAGATCAACACTAACCATTCGAACCAAAAGAAGTTCAAAAGAATCTTTCTTGGGAAAACTGACAATAATTGAAAGTTGTCTTGGGTTAGGGCTTGAACTTAAACATAAAGTTGATCCTGACAATAAAATAATGACAAGAAATGCCTGTCAATTTTTTTGTTTTTGTATTTTCTACATTTTCTAGATGTAAAGTAATGTTGTTGCTTGTTTTGCTTTAAAAGTTGACCGACAATATTTACATTTAACAATATTCTTGTCTTTTGTTAAATTTAAAATATGTTTCCAGAGATTTTTCTTTTTTTTTTGAAGGTTCCACCTATTCCCATAAAAATTTTAACAAAATACCAATTTTCTGTTTATTAATTTTAAAAAAAATTACTTGATATTATTTAAGTAATATAAATTTACTTGAGTAATTGAATCATTCAAACAATTACTTGAGTACTTAGTACAAGTAACTTAAGTACTTATGTTATTTGAAACAGCTATCTAAAATAATGATTTTAACAGAATTGAACATTGTATAATTTAAAACTTTTTGAATTGAAAAGAAAACGGACAGAACAACATTGATATGTCAAAGAACAACAATTAAAGAATACAAATTAATGTTATTTGAGGCAACAAATAAATTAACAGCTAATTCCTATGTTGCAAAATGTCAAGTAAGATACCTAAAACAACAAAAAGAAAAATTGGTAAAAGACTGAATGATTCAAGATGAAATTTAAAGTTACCATTGGTGCCAATGCACCAATGTCAATGCAAGTTACACCTCATTGTCTATTTATTTATTAAATGAAAATGATCAGATTAAAGAAAAATTGTTTTGTTACATGCCAGAAGATAATGAGCATGACATGGGTTTTGTGTTCAGACACAAACAGATTAAATCACCCTATTATTTTAAAGATTCTTTATTTTTTAGATGGTATGAAAATATTTAGCAAAATGTTATGGTAACCCGCATGGTCCTTTTAAAAAACTTTTCTGGGCATTTAGAGCAGATGAGTGTAGGGTTCCAATTTCTAACATAATTTGTATTATTGATGCACCTGTAACAACAACTGGACATATGTATACTTTGACGCATCTAAGCAAATTTAAAACAATCTTGAAACTTTATTTTTGTATTTTACTTTGTAAATAATTAAATAAAACAGAACAAATACAAACCAAAAAAGTTTACAAAACTACAAACCAAAAAATTTTTTTTGGTTTGTATTTGAACAAATTCAAACCAAAAAAAGACAATATTTTTGTTTAAAACAAATATATTGTCATCTTAATATTTAAACTTTTTAAAATATTTAATATTTAATATTTCAACTCGTTTCTCCGCGCAGCAGCCTTGTTCGTCAAGGTTCGTGTTTCAGAGTTATAGAGCTGAGAGAGATATAACCACAAATAAGTAGCCTACTCGTCTGTAGTGACCTTCTTGGTCTTGAAGAGGTGAATTAACAAAAAAAAAAAAAAAAAAAAAAAAAAGTTATTTTTACATAATAAAAAATTCAAAAAAAAAAGTTTTATTTTGAGAAAATAAGTGGGTCATGGCCCCAGTGCCCTGGGCTATGGAGTCTCTGGTCATCTGCCCTAAAAACAATTTTAACAATATTATTCATCAGGATTACACAAATGCTGAAAGTTACAAAGCTCCAGTTTGTTTTGATCACAATATTCCACAAAAAAAAGTCTTAGTCCCCCCACCCTAATGTCTTGGGGCCCTGAAAATAATTTTAACATGCACATTCACTTGCACTACAGAAATGCAAAAATTTTCAGAGCTCCAGCTAGTTTGGAAGGTAATGAAAAATCAATTACAATACTCTGCTACAAAAAAGTGGGAAACGTTATCCATATACTTGCAGATCAAAATCTTTATATTTTTTAAAAACTCAATGAATATAGAATAATTCATATATAAATAAGTAATATATATTTTGTTAATATTATCAAGGCCACATGGGTTTCTTGAGCATTAAAAACAGGTATATAAAAAACTGCCTAATTTTATTTAAATTGATAATTACAGGTACTAAATATTAATTACCTTTCTGATCATTTCACTGGATTCGTCATCCAACAAAATTAGCCAGTTGCAAATTTTTGAGTAAAAAAATCAAATATTTTCAAAGTTATGTGACTTGAAACCTCTAAATAAATATTGCAATTGCAAGGGACAAGAGGGGCTTGGGCAATACCTACTAAAAGTAAAACGGTCATATTTTAGGATCTTTTTGGAGCCAGAGACTAAAATTTTCAAGGAATTCTTATTTTACAAAGCACTCTCAACTGTATAAAAATCAGCCAAAATTGAAATGTATGGTGACATAACTTGGATCATTTGACATGAAATTACCCTTAAGTGTAAAATATAAAACTTTTTTGCTGTTGCAAATATATATATATATATATATATATATATATATATATATATATATATATATATATATATATATATATATATATATATATATACCAACATTAAAAATTACTTCTATAATGAATAAAAAGATAAATTATTAAGTAAGAAAAGCTAAAAGTATTTCTACAAGACAAGACTACAAAGAATAACATAATACAAAACTTTGTCATATATTTTTAAATATTGATACATTAAAAAAGGAAAAGAACAACATCCGAAATTTAGGATAATATAAAAACTATATATCGATAAATAAAAAAATATACTTCATTAGCAAACCAATAAATATTTAAAAATTAAGAAAAAAATTTTTGTTAAAAAAAACAAAACAAAACTTTGAACTGTTTTAAAAAAAAAATTATATAATGAAAAAAATATTTTAATAATGAAAAAAACATTTATTAAAAACATTTTTTTTGTCAAAATAATTTTAAAGAGATTTTTTTCATTTTAATTGAGAAAATTAGGAACCTATTAATTCTTATACCAAGATGCGTTTTTTTTTAGATAATGTTGCTGAATTGCTCTGGTAAATTCGATGCTGCCTATTACAATAATGCACTTGAGTGCCATCTGTAATGATGATCCCAGCATTGATTTATTCCAGCCGTGTTTCATATTAAAACTAAGCTTAATGAATCAAGGAAAATATTCAGCATCAAAACCAAAAATAAAAACATCGAACATATATATACCAAACATAAACCCACAAGCACAAATAATGATCAGATATCAAACATTTTGATTTTTCTTTTTTTTGATATTTTTTAAAAACTTGACAAAACATTTACAAATAAATAAACTATCCTTTAGTATTAAGTTTTATTGAGAAGAAAATCTTTTTCTAATAACTCTCTTTTATTTTTAACTTATGGAAGATTTAACTATTATTTTTCAAGTATTAAATTTGTTTATAACTATTCAATTGGTTGATTTGTATTACTATTTGATTGGTTGGTTTGTATTAGTAAATTTTCCTTTTTTTCATTTGTAGCATCATCTTTTAAAGAAATATGGTACATAGCTAAATTATTATCTAGTGTTTTTACTGGTTCAACTGGATGATAAGATCTATTTAAATTTTGAAGTGGTTCTTCGTAATTTAATTCATTGTTTATTGAGCCATCAATTAAAACTTTGAAATGCTCATTCGATCTGGAATAAGATTGATGAATATCTGATTCCAGCGCAACATTTGTTAGGCTCTACATACAAACATAAAAATATTTAATTTTGAAATATTGAAAAAATACAAGTGTTATAACAAGTAAAACTATAATTAGGTATAATTAAGAAATTAACTTAGCAATAATTAATGATATTAACATATATTATAATAACATATATTTGCATATATATAAAGTAAAACAAAATGTTTTAAATTTTTTACAAATATCACATTAAAAATATACATATTAAAAAAAAAATTCCATTAATAAAAAACATACCCCATTTTTCATAAAGTTTGAATATTTTTTTTCAGAAGTTGATACATGACGCAGGCTTTGTTGCCTAAAGTTTATATCATAAGTTTTCAAAAAACTAAATATTTAATTAAAGAAAAACCAAAACAAACAAACAAACAACAAACAAAACAAAAAAACAAGTAAAAGACAAAAATTAAAAAAATAAAAATTTACTTATTAAAGTTAATGATTTCATGTGACATTAATTTTAGTTTTTTAACATTTTCTGTTTCTAAACTATTGAACCAAGCCTCTATAGAATTTGATGCATTCTGTAATGTTTCTATGTTATTTGTAGCATACCATTCTGAATGCAGAGTGCAGTTGCTTTTATTTTTTGCAGTAGAACTGTTTGATGTGTTATCTTGTGTTATCTGTGTATCTGTGTTTGATGGGCATGTGTTATCTTTTTCAGGAAACAATTTATTTGTGTGATTATTGTTTGTGATTACGTTAGTGTTTAACCCTTCAATGTGAAGAATTTTTTTTGGCTTTTCAGCTGAAAGTTTAATACAAAATATTTAATTGAATAAATATGTATTTTTTATTTATAGTTAAAAAAATTTGGATATTTCTTTTTAAAAAAATTTATAAATATAAATTTCAAAAATGAGTAAAAAAACAAAAATGATGTTGCCTTTGTCTGAATTTTCTTTATTTTTAGTATTTTGTTTTAATGTCACTTCATTTATTGCTGTATGTATTGCTTTGTCCTGAAAAAATAACATATTTTTGAAGTAAAATACACATACATATATGCAAACATACATACATACATACATACATACATACATACATATATATATATATATATATATATATATATATATATATATATATATATATATATATATATATATGTATATATATATATGCATATATATATATGCATAAATATATATATATATATATATATATATATATATATATATATATATATATATATATATATATATATATATATATATATATATATATATATATATATATATATATATATATATATATATATATATATATATAGGGGAGAAAGGGGCAGCTTTGAATTAATGCATTTGTGAAGAGCGCGTGTATTTAAATTTGATATATAGAATTATTTTAACATGACAATACTTATCCTCACATCTGTCACTTGAATATGTTGCCATTTGATTAAAAGTGGACAAACTAGACGGTATTTTTGTTTTTAGTACAAATTTGAAACATTTTGATAAAAAGTTGTAAGAGCTTTCTGACCACATTTTTAACAAATGTTGAACTTTATGTTATTTATTATATAGATTATTTTATTCTCTATACAATGATGCAAGAAATTTCAAAAAAAAAAAAAAATTTGTTTCCAAAAATAGGCATTTACTCTCTAAGACGATATTGGGGCAGTTTTGAAAAAAATGAACGGGGCACCTTTGAATCATTGTAATTTATTCTTTTAACTTCCCGCACTTTATTGCTTTATTATTTACGGACTAAGTTTAGTTTATTTAACGATAAAAATGGTTCGAAATTATAAAAAAAAAGAGAGTGACTGAAGTCATAAAGGGAGATGTCAATAATGCTGTTCTCCAAGTTGCAAATGGATTAATGAAGCCAAACGAAGCAGCTAAAACCTATTATATAAAACGTAATACTTTACATTACAGAATAAAGAAGTATAAAAATTAAATACCCAAGACCAAGTTAGGTTTTACAAGTAAATATACTGTCGCACAAGTATTTAATGAAGATGAGGAAATAATGTTGAAAGACTATCTAATAAAAAGCTTTAAAATGAACTATGGGTTGACATATAAACAAGCACAGGAATTAGCATTTCATTATGCAATGAAACTTTGCAAATGTCCAAGTAAATGGATGGAAAATAAACAAGCTGGTATAGAGTGGTTGAAAGGCTTCATGAAACGCCACCAAGAACTTTCACTTCGAAAACCTGAAAATATGAGTTTGTCTCGCCCAACAAGTTTTAATGAGCACAATGTAAATCAGTTTTTTGATGACTATGAAAAAGTATTAAAAAAGCATCATTTCACTCCTGATAGAATTTATAATATCGATAAAACCAACATAATGACAGTAGTACAAGCACCCCATGTTATAACATCACAGTGTGTATCTGCTGAACGCGGACAACTAATTACTATGTGTGGTATAGAAAATGCCATAGGAAATTTCATTCCACCTGTCTTCATATTTCCAAGAGCACGGTTTCATGACACCATGTTAAAAGGAGGACCTCCTGGTTGTATTGGTTATGCAAACAGTCCAAAAAGTGGCTGGATGACAGGGCTTCTGTTTTTAAAGGTTCTAGAACATATAAAAAAACTAGTCAGATGTTCGAAAGAGGATCCTGTTTTACTCTTATTTGATATTCATGAAAGCCATTGTACATTAGATGCCATTAATTATTGTTTTGAAAATGGAATGATGGTTTTAACATTTCCTTCTCACTGCACTCACAGAATGCAACCTTTGGATGTGGCTGTTAAAAACAATAACAATACACAATTTAGTTAGCATAGTGACACCAGCATATAATACAACATATATTGCCAGGAATATTGTTGCAGGTTTTTCAACACCTGGAAAATATCTTTTTTCACGCCTTGATTTCTGCAATGACAACTTTCAAAGTGCTGAAGTGACTAATCATCCTTTGTCAGAAACATTCAGTAAAGCTACTTCTGATAATTCACATCAAATTCTAAATAAACCTGAAGACATAGTTATGCAAAAAGAAGATTTTAAAGTGGATTATAAGAATTATGAGCAAACAAGTATAACTTATGCCTTACAATCACAGCACACAATAACACCTGAATCTGTAAGACCATATCCAAAAGCTCTACCTCGTAAAAAAACTAATAAAGGCAGAAAAAGTGGGAAATCTAAGATTCTTACTGACACCCCAGAAAGAGAAGAAATAAAAAAATCTTATCTTTTACGCAAGACAAAACTTCAAACCTCATTAGGAATTTCAAAACAAAAAACATCCAAAATTGGATCTAAATCCTCAAAAGCAAAACTAAAACGAAAAATACTTTAATCTATGTTGAGTTATCGTAACTTTAAACTGTTTTGATTTCTGAAAGTTCAAACTTTGTTGCTTGTAACAATGCTTTTAAAATTTAATGTTATATATATATATATATATATATATATATATATATATATATATATATATATATATATATATATATATATATATATTCTTTATTACTTTGTCAATGTTTTTTCTTAACTTTAATTTATGTTGATCTTAACTTTTAATTTTTTTTCCCACAGTTTATATCTTAAAGTTCTGATTTTGTTACTTGTAAAGATTTTTTTTTAAATAGTTGATGTTATTTATTAGGAATATTTGAGGTGGGTATCAGGTCGGCAAAAATTATCAGATACAAAGGTCTGAGCATAAAACATAGAAATGAGGTTGGCAATTTTTTGCCCACCTCAAACCAGAGTTGTTAGTCCTTGGCCCTGGACTAGACCTTGGCTTTGCCTTAAGACCAAAAATTGAGCCCTTGGTCTTGGCCTTGAAACTGTTGGACTTAGCCTTGAAAATTTTGGCCTTGGCCTTGGTCTTGACAATGAAAATTTTGGAATCGGCCTTGATTGTTTTGGCCTTGGCCTTAAAAAAAATATATGTTTTCTTATTGATTTTGTTGAATTCTGTCCATAAACTTGGTTTATTTTTACAAAATGTGGTTTTATTGTCACAGCACTTGCTACTTACAGTTGTGTTAATAATTGGCCTTAACATAAGGCAAAAGTTGAAGTCTTTGGTCTTGAAAATTTTTGCATTGGCCTTGGCCTTGAAACTCTTAATCTTGGCCTTGACCTTATAACACGTGGCCTTGGCCTTGTAACGCGTGGCCTTGAACTTGTAATGCGTGGCCTTGGTCTTGATACTTTTGGCCTTGTTAACAATTCTGCCTCAAACACTTTCAGGTCAGCAATTAGGTCGGCATTGCCGAATGCCGACCCTAATTCTAAAGGTTGATAAATATATATATACATACATACATACATATATATATATATATATATATATATATATATATATATATATATATATATATATATATATATATATATATATATATATATATATATATATATATATATATATATATATATATATATATATATACAAAATAGATGTATGTCAATGATGTACAGTAGCAGTTGCTCAATGACAAATGCCAGCTGAATCTTTTAAAGGGAAATTTTATTTTGACTCAATTTCTTTTTTTTTCTTTTTTTTTTCTTTCTTTTTTATCAATTTAATAATTTTATAAGAATAAAAGTTTTTACATCCAAAAATAAACTTTTTGTTTTGTGTTCTAAAGAAGACAACTTTTTTCAGTTACATATTTTTGATGACATTTGATAACTATCTAACTTTATGCATTAACATTTTGCAAGTAAGAAAAGGTGTTTAAGTTTGTTTTATGTTTTTTTATTTATAAGAACAAAATAAAATTGTTCGAGCATTTAATTGTTTAAAAATTAAAATATTAGTATTATTATATATTATGTTTAGTTAGAGCAATATAAATAAAATTGTAAACAAAATACCTTGATGTATATTAATAATGATGTATATTAATAATGAAAGTAAAAAATTTAAGTCGGTAGCTAAAATTTACATTTAAAGTACAAATGAATTTGAATTGTTTAAAATTGTTTTATCACACTTTCACTTTGAACAATTTATTTAAAAGTACTTAAATGTCAACAACATTTTCAGCTAAAACTTACTTAAAAAGAACAAACTAATTTGATTTTTGAAAACTTGTTTTGTCGCTTCTAACTTTGAGTTTTTTCAGCATTTTTTCTTAGTCATACTTGGTCTTACTTCATTTTTAAATAAAGATTTTAGGGATTTCATAAATTTCAATAAATTCAAATACTTAATATATGTCTATTTATACTTTATACAATTATAACTTTTATGCTGTTTATATATTTTTTTTACTATTTATAAGGTAAACAATATGTTTAATCATTCATAAAAAATTTACTTAAAAGAATAAATTAGTCAAAATTTTGTGCACTTAATTTAGCCTTAAACCGAAATTAAAAATTTTCAAAAAGCGATTATAGCAAAGATGTTAATGATAGAACTATAATAATAATGATTAAAACCATTTTTTTGTTTTATTGCCATTTAAGTCATAAGTATTCTTGTGAGCTTCATTCATTTTTATAAAGAGTTTTTTTAAAAAAAAAAAATTCATAGAAGAAGTGCATAAAGCAGGTGAAAAAAATAAAGTCATTTATGTCGAAGCTTTTTCTAGCATTAGAAAAGAGAATATTATCAATAATTTTTAATAATTATTTTGGTTTGCAAAATACTTTCTAGTTAACCCATAGCACTATAATTTAAAAAAATTTTTTACTCTCAGTCGCTTATATGTATATATATATATATATATATATATATATATATATATATATATATATATATATATATATATATATATATATATATATATATATATATATATATATATATATTTATATACAAGAGTGCTCAAAAGTTTAGCACGCAGCAGAGTTAAATTTAGTTTTTTCCATATATGTTAATTTTTCAGTTGGTAAAGCTTTAAAAAAAAGTTTTCTTCTATGTATCAATTAACAAGGCATAACCAGATAAAAAAAAAAAATTAAAAAAGTTTGCTTAGATGCATCCATTTTTTTTAATAATACATTAAGAGGTATTTTAAGCTTTAAAAAAAAGCTGGTCATGAGTTAAGCTCGCTAGCTCTTCTTGAAGCTTTTAAGGAGATTTTTTATAAATTTATTACAGTAAAAGTTGCATCATAATAAAATTAAACTCTTCTTTTTAATGAAATATTACAAAAATATATTTAAAGTAATATTTAGTATTTTAAAAATTTGTTTTAAATTAATTCATCTCTTTGCTTAATTTTAGATTATAATAATAATAGAAATTTGAAATTTCCCATGGGAAGAAAAACTATAAGTCAAGAATTCAAACAGCATATTTTTGGCCTTAATATAGAAGGTCCCTCTAACATAAAAATATATCAAATTTTAAAGTGTTTTTACCACCATGTGTAAGTAGAACTATTTCTTAAGTTTAATGAAACTGGTAGTACTCCTGACAAAAAGCATTGTGGGCGACCAAAAAGACAAATAAAAGTGATGATAATTCTATTTATAGAATTGCCAGAAAAAATACGAAATACTTACGGCAAACAGTTAATAGAAGACTAATAGACCTCAAGCTGTGGTGCTATGTTGCTGCCAAAAAATAATTATTAAAATCAACAGACCGTTTAAAGCGAGTTAAATTTTGCAAAGCGATTTTAAAAATGATTAAGAAACATTGTTTTTAGTGATGAATCTAACTACACTATCCTAAATCTTAAAAACAAAGTACTTGTCCGTAGGTACCACAATGAAAAGTATAATAGTTGCTGTATTGTACCTATACTACAAGGTGGAGGTGGTGCAGTTGGTATTTGGGGCTGCATCACATATGATGGGCCAGGTCTACACACATTATACAGTGGTCGAATGGACCAACATAGATACATCAACATCCTTGAAAACTATTTAATCCTACCAAGGACATTTTTTTTAGTAATGAGCCAGAGTGGATGTTTCAACAAGACAATGCTCCATGCCATAAAGCAAAATCTGTAACAGAATGATTTGAGCAAAACAATATCAAGGTACTTCATTGGCCAGCTAGATCACCTGATCTGAATCCATTTGAAAATGTTTGGGCGTAAACTTTTCAATTCTATAAGAAGAAGATGTTCATTATGCATAAAAAATAGAGGTGGTCACATTCCTTATTAAGGTTCGACCTAAAAACAACTTCAAACCCAAGCGTGCTAAACTTATGAGCAGCTTTTTTTTTTTATTTTGTATATGCTAAGTTTCTTTCAAAAAATTTAATATATATTTTTCATTGTTTTTATATTATTTTTCTCTTAATATGTTCTAAATAACCTAAAAAAAAAATTGTGTTTGAAATAACTAAAAATTTTATCTTTTTTTTCTGTTTTATATATATGTATATACATACATATATAAATATATATATATACATACATATATATATATATATATACATATATATATATATATATATATATATATACACACACATACATATAAACACAGATATATATATATATATATATATATATATATATATATATATATATATATATATATATATATATATATATATACATGTAAACACATATAGCTGATCTGCAAAGATTGTTTCTGCCAGAATCCCAAAAGAAATTAGCTCTGCAGTAATAGATGCTTGAAAGAAAGCAGGATTTCAAGACTTATTAATGGATTCCGTGTCAATCCTATACTGTACTAAGTTATAAAACTTCTATTTACTTGATTTTGCCAATTTACTACTATTATTATTACAATTATTTACTTGATTTTGTTAAGCATTTAAACACAGCCTATTTTTACCATGCGTATGTGTATATACAGTGTATAGCACTGTATATACACATATAACATGGTATATACAGTGTAAACATAATATAACAACAGTATATACAGTGCTTACAAAAAAAAATAAGCGCAATAAAATTTTGTTGCTTCAAGCATATTTAAACTACCATAAAATAAAAACTAAAGAAGTTATTGAACAAATTTTTTTTTATTTGCAAGAAAAATCTTTTTTTTTAAATCTTGCATCTTGGATGGCATACTAAAACATAAAACTGTATATAAAAACATTATCAAACATGATAATAAAAAATATCAATAAAAATTATGTACAAAATTAAAGCAACAAAAATAACATCTAAGCTAGTATTTAAAACATCCCCCTAGCTTTTTCTCAAACAGCACATCTTATTTGCATTGATTTTACAAGACTGTTACAGAATTTGTTTGGAACTCTTTTCTAAATGGTAACTAATTCTTGCTTTAGGCTATTTATAAATCATATTTGTACCTTGACTAATACTTTTTCCATCCAAGCCCAAATAGATTTAATTGAATTTAAATCTGGTAAATGAGCTGGCCAAGTCAATAAACCTACTTTAATTTCTTTCATCCTTGCCTTTACTTTATGAGCTGTGTGGGCAGGTGCCAAATCTTGTTGGAATTGCCACTTTTTGTTTCAATTAATCAGCATGTTCACTCATGGAGCCTTGTAGTTCTTTAGAATCTCTATATATGTATGTTGGTTTATTCCAGGGACTACTAAAATAACGAAACTTCAAATCGATGCTAAAACGACGACAGGGACGATTGTAAATGGCGATGTTAGTTTGATTTAGCAAAGAAGTTATGAAAAATTTACATTAATCTAATTATATTCACATTTTAGAATACATTAAAGTGATACAAATTCATATTACTAATATAATGTATATATTTTTCACCAGTATATGATAAAATTTAGGTTAATACAATAGAAATATTGGAAGATATTTACAACATTTTTTAAAAAAAAGCCTTTTTTTTTTTGAAAAAAGTTGCTATTTTTATTGAAAAATCAAAAGTTTTTTATTTTTTGAAAGTAGTAAGATTAAAAAATTGTATTAAGTAATTTTTAATTTGAGTAATTTATTTTAAGTAATGAATCTATTAAGTGTTACAAAATGTTATGTCATATTTATAATAAATAATAATGGTGTTACTATTATTAGTTATAATCATGCCAAGAAAATGTTCAATAGTTAATTGTACCACAAATTATTTAACATCAACTTCAGAAGAAAAGCTTCATGTTTACATGTTTCCAAGTGACCCACAAAAGTTACAATATTGGTTGTCATCTATTCCAAATGCGTTTGAAAAAGTAACTTCAAATATGGGTGTGTGTGAAAAACACTGGCCACCAGGCTGCAAAATGCACAAGCCTCCTCGATCAAAGTTTGAGGTAAGCATCCTTAAAGTTGTTTTTATTGATAAGTTTTACAATGACTAATTTTAATAATATCTTTTTTAGGTTCCTGTTGATCCCCCATCTATTTTTCCTGGATGCACATCTTCAATGGTGCGCCAAACAGTCTCAACACAACCAAGATCTACAAATATAAATAAAATTTCTTTAACATCACGAAATGCAATACCTGATGAATTGGATGATTTCAATCAAATTGATTTAATTAAATTTTATGATGTTGAAATAATGTTGTCTGAAATAAAAGAAAGGTAAAATTAATTTTTTCTCCTCGTTTTATGATATTTGTTTGTTTTGATTTAAAGTTTACTTGTTATTAAATCTATTTTAGATATCCTCAATACTTTGTGTTCATTGAAAATTCAAAAGTCATATTGTTTGATGTTTCTCGATCATGTCTACCTGAAACAATATTTTCTGTTGAAATTAACTGCCATTCGCGTCAAGTTAATATTTATTGTAGGCATACAAAAGTTAACTGCTATGACCTGCTCAGTTTTTCTCATTGTCTTACTCGGTGGTCACAGCTTGAAGCTATTGTCAAAAGAGTTTGTAGCTCTAGTCCTGAAATAAAAGATGAGGTATTAAGTTTGATTAGTCAAATTGAAAATACATACAGTGATACTTCTGAAGAAATTTTTTTCCTCATTGAACAACTACGCCTCACCACTTATTCTCCAAATGGACTACGCTTTTCTACTTTATGTATACGTCATGCACTTGAACTGTATTTGTCCTCCAGATGTTGTTATCGACATTTAAGAAATCTGCTTTGTTTGCCCAGTCCAAAGACTCTCATTTCAAAATTAGGAAGAGTTAAAGAAGTTGGAAATGAAAAAGAGTGCAATAATACAATCAAAGTTGTTTTTGAAAATTTTAATAGTTCTGAAAAGCGTTGCTGTCTTCTCTTTGATGAGATGTATATTAAACCAAGTGTTAGTTTCAGAGGAGGACACCTCATTGGATATAGTGAGGACAATCCCACTAAAATTGCAAAAACGTTATTAGTCTTTATGATTAAACCTATGTTTGGTAAACCTTCTTTTGTTTGTAGAATTGTACCAATATTTAAACTGTCAGTGCACTTTCTTCACGATTTGATTATAAACATAAATAAACAAATAATTGATGCAGGAGGAGAATTACTGTGTCTTTTATCAGATAACCATCCCACAAATTGAAGTGTTTACCAAAGTTTCGTTGTTAATAAAAGTTTTCTATGGCAAGGTGTTATAGAAAAAGAAAAACCAGTTATTATGCTACACGATCCAGTTCACTTGTTTAAAAGTATAAGAAATAATTGGTTTACGGAAAAAACACAAACAATTAGTTTAAAAATTAATAATCAACCTCTCTCTGGTGATTGGTCTCACATTGTTCAATTATATAACAGACAGAAAACTTGTGTTGCCAAAACTACAAAGCTTTCACGCAAGTCAGTGTATCCTAGTTTGATTGATAGACAAAATGTTGCAAACATGGTTGCTGTATTTAATGAAAAAACTGTTGCAGCATTAAGATTAGCTAATTTTGAGAACACTGCCTGTTTTTTAGCACCAATTGTTTCATTATGGAACATGCTAAATGTTAAGAGGAAAGATTGTGATGTTTTACTTAATGATATCAATAGGTCTCCTTTCCAGACACTCGATGACCTTAGATTTAAAGAAATTTTAGCATTTGCTGATGCAACTTCTAAGATGTCAGAGGGAAAGGGATTAAAGCGTCATAATACTTTTACACCAGAAACAAAACATGCTTTAGTTAACACCCTACAAGGATTGGTGGAATTAATAAAAAAACTGCTTTCAGAAGATCACCAATATGTTCTTCCCGGTATTTTTCAAACAGATCGTCTTGAAGGTGAATTTGGCATCTACAGGTAAAATTATTTTTGTGTTACTTATAGTAAAGAATATTTTGTAGGTTTGAAATCTAAAAAACAAATATTTCTCTTATTTATTTAAATGTATTATTTTTTAACATACATAAGTTTATTGATTCGTTTTTTTTGACAATTGCTGTTTTAACTATAATTTAATACTCGGTTCAACTCAATTTATTTGGTTATATCTTTTTGCAATTTTTTTGCTTATTTGTAGACAACTAAGTGGCGGAAATTATTTTATCTCAGCAGAACAAGTATTGAACAGTTTGCACCTTCAGCGGTTAAAATTATTCAGCAAAATAGTTTCTTTGGATGAAACTGACATTCATTGCTCACGCATACATTCAGACTGTTGCACAATGGATCTATTGGAAGAGGATATTATTTATTTAGATGAATGTTTAATTAATGCAGACAATGAATCTATTAATGATCAGGAGAATGCTGCCCTTTTTTATATGGCTGGTTATGTACAGCACAAGATCGATCCGCAGCGTATAGTTGATACAACAACATCACAATCAGCTAGTTCTGAATTTACAGATTATGTTTCACGTGGTAAATTGCGTTATCCTGGTGATACTCTTCTCCAGTTTATTTGTGTTTGTTATCTACTGTTTAGCAGCGTTCCAATGTCTGAAAAACGTTTTCAATGTGTTGTTTATTTAAAGAAATTATTTTTATTCTTGCATTCAACATTACCATTTGATTTAGAAACAGACAGTATAGGTATTTCAAAAGTTATATCAATAATAACTAACTGTTTCTTAAAAGGTGTTACGACCCTTGATAATACATCTGATATTGTTTCATTAAACATTGAGGACAGAAAAAGAAAGAAACTCAATACTTAGTGGTCTGATTATTTAGTTGACGTTGGTGATATAATTAATAACGTTTTGAAATGTATTTATGGCTTTATATTTATATGGTTTAAAATTTGTTTATAATTATATATTTATTATTATGATATGAATATATAGTATGATAAGTAGTGATTAATTAGTTTATTAACATTGTCTTTAAAAATAATTATTTACAGCTAATTTACAGTTTCTTTGTAAAAAGTTGTTTTATTTTTAACACTTAATCAACACAATTTAATTTTTGTTTGAAAATAGTGATAAATAATTGAGCCATAACATTTTTTTATTAAATTTCTATTCATAATTATATTTTTGTTTAATAATAGAAGTGTTTCGCTTTTTTTTTCATCGGCCCTGTCGTCAAAACTACATGAAATTAGAGTTTCGCGTCCCGTTGTTTTAGTAGTCCCTGGTTTATTCAACCTGTATAAATGTTACACACTCCTACTCTGTTTAAGTTAAAACAGTCCCAAATACCAACACTCCTGCCACCACTTTTTAACCTCAGTAAAACAAAGCAATTACTATACTTTTCTGATTTAAATCCTTTGACAAGAACTTTGCTATTTCTATTTATTACTTTAAAATTACTTTCATCACTAAAATTACTTGCTTCCACTTCTTCAAAGACCATCCAATTCTCTCCTTCCACCACCATAATCTTGTGAGCGGATCTCTGGCTGTCAACATAGGTTTTATAACATAGACACCAATTCTTTTCATTAGCAAAATATTTTTAACTGTATTTGACAAAATAGATTTTTCACGATTTTCGTTAAATGTGTCAGTGAGTTCACAATATTTAAACCTCAGATTTGCTCTTACTTGATGAAATATAAGACATTTTCTCCCTCAGTAGTTTTTTTTAACTTTCCTGATCCGGCATGACGCTAAATGCCACCTGTTGTTTTAAATGTCTTTAGAGTATATCTGGCGAGATTCTCTGAAATTTTGTACTTTATTGTTATTTCTCTATTACTGATCATTGAGCCATCCTTTATACCTATTATTTGTCACTTTGTTTAGTACTTTTCAACATATTTCTATGTATATTTACTTTTGGGTCAAAATATTTTTAAAATCATTAAATGTGACTAAACTGGTCATCCAAAGTAATTTTATTCAACCTTTTATAGGAAATTGTCAAACTAACATAAATTAATAAAAAAATTATAAATAGCAGTTGGGTTATATATATATATATATATATATATATATATATATATATATATATATATATATATATATATATATATATATATATATATATATATATATATATATATATATATATATATATATATACATACATATACATGGGTGTATAAGTGTGTGTGAAATTCATACATATATGTAAAATGTAATAGAATAGATTATATAATAGATTTTAATAGATTAAAAAAGAACAAAAATAAAAAGAACAAATAAGATATTAACCTCAGAATAATTAATTGGTAAGATATGAAGTTTGTTGTAGACATTAACAGGTGCACCATAATGTAAAAGTAGTTGAACAAGATCTACATAGTTCCATCTGAAAATTATATTTATTTATAATATAACTTATTAAATAACAATACAACATTAGTGAACAGTTATTTATGTACATTTAAAGCTTAAGTTCATTGCAAAAAAACTTAAACAAGTAAGTTTAAAGTAATTAAAATTATTTGTTCTGATTTTTTAAGTCCAAACGAAAGTTAAAAAAAAAAAACATGAATAGAGAAAAAGTACAATTAAGTGAATATTCTCATACCTTTTTTTTTATTTCACAGAAAAAAAAAATTAATATTTGTATTTATAAAAAGATTTTTCAGAGTAAAAATAATTTTTTACTTAAACGAGTGGTTCCGAGTTCGATCCCCACCACGTCCCTGGTAGTACCGCGCTTAACTCGTTTCTCCGAGCAGCGGCCTTGCTCGTTAAGGTTCGTGTTTCGGAGTTATAGAGTTAAGAGAGGGTTATAACCACAAATAAGTAGCCTCCTCGTCTGTAGTGGCCTTCTCGGCCTTGAGGAGGTGAATTAAAATTAAAAAAAAAAAAAAAAAAATTCAAATATTATTTTGTTGAAAAACTATACCATGTTTATAGAACGAAAACAAAATTTTTTTATATGAATTATATAGTAAAAATAATCAAATATTAGAAAAAAAAATTGTAAAAAATATAAAAACCTGCAAGCATTATGTAAAGGAGTGTTTCCACGTTTATTAATAATTCTGACATCAGCACCTTTCTATAAATATATAAAAGTTTAGATTGATTTGCTTAAAATTACAAAGCAACTTATAATAATTAAAAAACAAAATAAAAAATCAAGCCAACAAAAAAATTAAAAAAATAACTATTTCAATGTACCTGTAAAAGAAGAATGGCAGACTCAACATGTCCATTAGTGCAACAAAAATGTAGAGGAGTGTTTCCATTTACATCTTTCACATTAGTTTTAGCTCCTTTTTTCAAAAGCAGGTTAACACACTAAAAGTATTTAAAAAAATACAGGTTAACACACTAAAAATATTTAAAAAAAATACAGGTTAACACACTAAAAGTATTTAAAAAAATACAGGTTAACACACTAAAAGTATTTAAAAAAATACAGGTTAACACACTAAAAATATTTAAAAAAAATACAGGTTAACACACTAAATATATTTAAAAAAAAAAGGTTAACACACTAAAAACATTTTAAAAAAAGCAGGTTAACACACTAAAAATATTAAAAAAAGATTTTATATGTAAGGTAGACACTTGTTATTCTAGCCAAAGTTTTGACCAGAATAGCGAGCTATTCTTTATGCACCTTGTGAATAAAGAAAGTAATCTAGCTTAGAAAATTTTTTTTCTGTTAAAGTTTGTATACAGATGTTATGGATTCTTATTGCTGGTAGCAAGTAAATATTCATATGTGTTGAATCTTTGCAATATTGTTATAGATGCTTCAATAATACTCAAACAATGATAGGCTTGGAAAAAGTAATGACAAACAACGATAGGGTTGGAAAAAGTAATGACAAACAACGATAGGGTTGGAAAAAGTAATGACAAACAACGATAGGGTTGGAAAAAGTAATGACATAAAAAACAAAAAAAAATTTTTCATTTAATTCAGATTTTACTGATTTAAACCAAAAGTTTTTTTTGAGTGTATTAGGTAATTTTATTGAGTGTATTAGGTAATTTTATTGAGTGTATTGAGTGTATTAGGTAATTTTATTGAGTGTACTGAATGTATTAGGTAATATTATTTACTTAATGTTAATAAACATTAGGATAATTGATTTTAATTTTTGTGCATAATGCAATAGCTTAAATAATCAGAATCATATTCAGATGTTCAAAACCATTTCTGTTCTTCGAAACCATCTCATGCCTTCGCACAACTATCTACACTCTGCTGTTGTATTAAGTTTGTTTTTTTGAAAAACTGCTCTGGTCTATCAAATCTGAAGAACATTTGTTTAACTTACTCTAACCCACTCTCATATCTTTAATTCTTAAACACGAACCTTGACAGGCAAGTTGAGTGTGGTACTCTCAGGGACATGGTGGGGATTGAATTACTTCTTTAATTCAGAAAAGATATTATAAAAATTTTTAAAAAGCATCGAATTCCAAATTGAAAATGGCTTCATTGGCTTTCTCGAATAAATTGCACAAAATTTTTAATAAATAAATACTATTTAAGTAAGTTATAGCTTTAAAAAAAATATAGAAAGAATTATAAATGGCCATAACCTTTGCATTAATTAATAAAAATAAATTTCTAAAAAAAAAAATACTAGTAACTACAATTAAAAACAAATTGATAGCTTTTCAAAAATGAAAATGCTTATCAAAAAATCTTATTTACAAATGCATTGTTTCCTCACAAAATCACCCTGATAAACAGTATATCAGCTTAACCAAGGGTGAATGGGGAAAAGTGTTATGCCAACCACAAACAACCTTTTAAACATAAAAAATACTCAAGACACTATGCTGCCTAAAATAAAGTTTCTAAAAAATGTATGCTATGTTTGCGCAAAAAAAATTTAAATTATCACCCATTTAAATAAAAAGTTTATTGAATAAAAAATCATTTTATAAACTTTTAAAAAAGTATATAAAAAAATGACCTCACTTAAATTAACCATTTTCTAAAGAATTCTTTTCACAATTAATTTTTATAAATATACTGTAGTTCATGTAACTTCCTGTTTGCAGAAAATGACAGATTTGATAAAAAATTATTACAACAATTTATAACTTTCTGTGAAAATTTTGTTTCGTAAATTGAATTTTTTGAAATTTAGAAATTTAAAATAATTCAATTTATAGTTTAAAATGTTTTAATTGTATAAATTTTTTATAAACAATTATTACACAGATTTTTGATAAATATTATATTTATAAAATATATTTATACTTGTATTTATAATATTATATTTATAAAATATATTTATACTTGTATTTATAATATAATTGTCAATCAAAAAATAAAAGCAACCTCAATGTTATTGTATTGACATGCGAAATGTAAAGGAGTCCGTTTGTTAGAAAGTGTAAAAACATTTGGATTAGCTTCAGCTTCCCTTAAAAGTAGTTTTACAATGACCTCATGACCACGAAGTGCAGCAACATGTAAAAGTGTGATGCCTTCAGCATTAGTCATATTTGCATTTAAAACTGTGGCCATATTTACTAGCTTCTAATATAAAAAGAATAAAAAATGTTTATTAATTTTGAAATTTAACAAAAATCCACAAGCAAAATTTAGTAATTATTATAAAAAACAACAAGAGAAAAACATACTTTCTGCACTGTAAGACAATTGTTACATTGGCACAAAGGATGGCATAAAGATTCATCAACAAAACCATTATCTGGATCTTCTAGATTGCAACTTTCATTTAACAAACCAAGTTTTTCTCTCACCTTGAATAGAATTTTAACTTTTAAAAGAAGTTAATTTTTTTTTTTTTTAAATAAGTTTTAGATTAACCCAGTTCTTAATCCTTTTACTTTTAATTTTGGTCATGTAGTTTTAAACTATCAACTTTTTTTAAATTACATTTAACCCTCTTACATTTTAACCCTTTTTTTCATACACCAATTCTTATCTCACTCACACATACACTCAAGCACACCTTAGACAAAAAACATATATGGCAACTTAAACACATACACTTACCAAAAATCACACTTAAAATAAGTAATATTTACATTAGCTTTTATTCCGTTGTTCATAAGTTAGTTATGATTATACATTAAAGTATATCACAGACATGCATACTAACATATTCAAAGTTAGTTGACAAGGTCTATAAATTACACACTCTAGCCATCTTTAAAAAGTTAAAATAATTTAAACACCATAATACACAGGAGCAACCACTATAAAGAGGTATGACTATATGCACCTTTCTTTAATTATTCATTGCTTAAAAAAAGAGTTAATAGAACCATTTTTTCTTTCAAATAAATTTAAAAATCACAAAATGTGTTACTCTTACCTTATAATAAACTGTCACAAAAAACACAAACCCTTCCTCCCATATGGTGTGTGAAATAATTATATGAAAGAATCATAATGAATCAAGATTGTTCTTTAAAGTTTTTAATAATAAGAATGAAAGAACAGGTATAAAATGGCGAAAGATCATTTAGCTGAGTTGGCTCTTTTTTCATCAAAAATGTTACCTTTGCTTAAGTCCTTTATATTCAAATATTTTTTAGGAACAAACTCATTAATGCTACTTTGTAAATTTAATCACTTTTCATATTCTCTCTCTTATGGTGTCTCATCTTTTAATTTAATCACTTTTCATATTCTCTCTCTTATGGTGTCTCATCTTTTAATTTTTTTTTCTCTTTTCTGTTCTGCTTGTTCATATTATTGCTTCATCGTATTTATCCAAATTAAATTTTTTTTTAAAATGCAAGATACTGGTGATAAGGGTCCAAGATACTAGTGAAACAAATTCAAAAGTCTTCTAGAATATTTTGGAAGGTTTCAGAATGTTTAGGAAATTTCCTGAATATTCTGGTAGGCGCCAGATTATTATACAACCTTCCGCTCATAAACAGACCTGAATATTCTGCATAACACTACTTTCTTTAAATAATATGGAACCAATTATAGGTTAAACGCATTATAAAACTTAAGGTGCCACAGGGGAACTGCTGGACTTAGAATTGTACAAAAATAAATTTCAACCTAGTCATTACAAGTGTAATATCAACTAGAAATATTTTAGTTGCCAAGATTGTTTATATTTTTGAACAAACCTAAAATATATAAATGCAACACAACAACAAAAATTGAAGGTAGCAATGCATTAATTTAAGAACGAAAAATTAGAAATAAAAAATAAATATAAAATACCAGTACAGAATTACCATCAGCTACTGCTTTTAAAAGCTGAGAAAACTAAATTATAAAAAATATTTACTAATTAGTAAAAACTCCAAAATACTTAAAATATTTTTTAGAACATCAAAGAATACTTCAGTTTTTACTTTATAATTTTTTACTTTATATTAAAAAAAATAAATTTTAAAAATTTAGTTCAATAATTTAAATTTTCTAGTTTAAATTTAAAAACTTTATATTTATTTTAAATTTAAAAACTTTATATTCAAATTTTAAATATTTAAGCCAATTCTTTTCAGTTTTACAGCTTGATTTCAACTTTTAAAGCAACTTCAACCAATTCGCTAATTATCTTATACAATTCAGTTAAACAGAAATAAAAAACTTTATGCAATAAATATACCTCAACACTTTGTTTAGATGAATTTGAAGGAACAAAAGCTTGATTTAATAAAAACTTTGTCGGCGATATTTTGCCTTCAATCTTTATATAAAAATGATTATATACAAATTATAACAATAATTTTTTAAACACAATTTGTGGCATTTTTAACTAATTTGCACATATAAAGATTATTATACTTATAAAGTTTACACTTATAAAAATTTAATAGACTTACTAATTCTTTACTGTTTTGCTTATTTGAAGATTCAAGACCATTCACAGACAGTTCTTCTTTACCAATCTCAGAAGTGGCTTGCAAAAACAAATCTAATATCTAGTCAAATAAAATTTTGTAATAATTTATTATTTGTTTTACACTTGACTTTTAAAAATTTATAATATAAAAGTTTTCAGTTTAGTATTGAGTCAGCAAAGTAAAAAACATTAATTTTTTAGAGAAACAGTTTAAAAAAGCAACACAAACAAAAATAGATTGCAAAACTGTAAAAACCTAAACAGCTTTAAAAATATTTATTGATTTAAAAAAGTTTGTGCAGACACAACTAATGTTATATCACTTCTCATGTCTTCATGTTGTTCATTCTTTTGCATATATCAATGAATAACCTTTAAAAATATTGATACATAACATAACTAATCCTTCCTCCCCCCCCCTGCCAACCAAAGCATAACAATTTATGGACGACCCTTTAAAAAATAAAAATTAAAAGTACAATTATCCAAATTATCCAAAGATACATTTTCCTTGTAAAACACAGTAACAATAAAAGTAACAAAGAGTCAAATTTTTTTTTTTTAAAGTAGAAATGTTTCTTCAAATTTTTGCTTAAAATTAGGAACAAATGTATTATTTAATAGAATAAATAAAAATTAGTTAATTAAAGATTTAAGTAATAAAGAAAGTTAATTAAAGTTGATCACTAGTTTTGAAGTTTAGATAAAAAAAATCATTCTTAAACTAAAACACAAGTATTTGAATTTGTATTTGGAAAATGTTAATTGCATATATTTGTATTTGAACTTGTATTTGGAAACTAAAAATTAATGTAATTGTATCTTATCAAACTTAACTGACACCTCAACCCTGCAAACAACATACATTAAACTTCTACAGTTTTCTAATTAAAGAAATTTAGAGAATCATATATAACAAAATGGCTAGAGATGACAAAACAGATGAAAATACTAAAAACTGATGATGAACATTCCATCTTTAACTTTATAATTTAAATTCATACTTTGAACACTAATAACAAAAACTTACTTTTGTATTGAGAGCACAGTCTTTAGGTGTTTGATTTTCCTTGTTCAAAATTGTCAATGAAGCTCCATTTATAACAAGCAGATACACCAAATTGCCTAAACTCAAACCAAATAATATTACCCAAAAAAAATTTAACTAATTTTATTAACTTTTGGTGTGTGCATATTTTTTTTAGATATATTAACATAAACTTGTATAAAACATGAAAATTTTAATTTGTACATATCATTGACATATCATATCTTGAAAACCTTTGAAATGCTGATTTAGTTTAAAATAAATTTTTGGTATTATTAAAAAGTAAAACAATTTTGCACTACTGTGTTAAAGTTGCATATTACATCAAAGTTATTATAAAACAACTGTTATAAAAACATAAGAAACACTTAAATACTGTCAATAATAGTTTTTATATACATCTGTAAGAAAAAAAAAAAAAAATTAGATATGCTTACAAAATAGGTAGTGGAAGTTTACAACAGGTTTTAAGAACATTTAAGTAATGGACAACAAATGTAACTCACTAAAGCCCCATCTACTGGCGATATGTAATGGTGTCTCTTTATTCTCATTGACAGCGTCTAAATTAGGCTTACTCTTTGATCTGCTTTCACATTCTTGAGAGCATAAATATTCAGCACACTAAACAAGGCTACATTGTTTAAATGTGTTTGTTATGAAACATAAAAAATATTTAAAAAAACCATTCATACCACCACATGTCCATGAGAAACAGCAAGATGAAGTGGAGTATTCCCCTCATTATCTGCAGCATTTATATCAGCACCATAATGAGACAAAATTACCTTGAAAACAAATATAAAATAAGCTTATTTTTATAAAATTTACTTAAAACTGGGATGGTAACAGTTGTTAAATCTACGTAAAAAGATCATAAAGAATCATAACACGCTTTGTTAAATTTTGTTACAATTATGGAGTTTACAACAACAATAGAGGCAGCTGTTTACACTTATGTTTATAACAGTATTTATAACTGTACCAAAACCAGTCATTTACATTTACAAGCTGTATATAATTAATCAAAATAATATAATAAAGAGGAAACTAAAATCATACAAAAAGATTAATATAGAAAATAAGCAATCATTTACAAAACAAGTAAAAATAAATTTCTTTGCAAAACTTTTTTGCAAAAAAAATCTTATTGCCAACTCTGCATTTTTTTGGGAAGTATGCAATATATTGCTCCAACTTTTTTTTAGGGAAGCATGCAATAGGTTGCTCCAACTTTTTTTTAGGGAAGCATGCAATACATTGCTCCAACTTTTTTTTAGTGAAGCATGCAACACGTTGCTCCAACCTTTTTTTAGAGAAGCATGCAATACATTGCTATTACTTTATATGTAAACTATTAATCGATTTCTGAACTGGTCTTTAAACCTGATGATAAAACTGACTTTAAAATGTCCTACATAAACACTTCATAACAACAGTTCACCTTTATTGCTTGAATTACACAAACCATTTTTTTATATCTTTTTTCTTTTGTCGTTTTTTTTTTTTTTTGAATTTATTTGCGATTCTGATTTTGATTTAATTAGTTAATTATTTAAAGTGAGGCAATAAACTTTAAAGTGAGGCAATAAACTTTAAAGTGAGGCAATAAACTTTAAAGTGAGGCAATAAACTTTTTTACTTAAAGATTTTAATTATATCAATCACTCGCCTTGTAGTAATTATTTCACTTAATAAATGAGATGTTTCAAGTTCAATGTTCCTAGAGAGGATTGTAACCACAAGAAAACAATCAGACCATACACTTAATAATTTATTTACTTTACACTTGATTTTTTTATTTAAAAACTTTAATGAGTTTTAAAATTGTTAAGTTTTGTTCTTTTCATTATAGTTCTTTCTATGAAGCAGCTAGTTTAATTCAAAAAAAAAATCTTATGCAGAATTTTCATTATTACCATTATCAATCTGTGATCTCAATCAGATAATATTTTATAGCAAGATTAAGTTTACACTTAGTAATTTTTAAAAAATTCAATAATTTTTGTTTAACAAATTAATTTATTTTATTATTACAATTTTTATAATATTAACGTGTTTAAAATATACAAATTTTTTTTAACCTAAACTGAAATGATACAAATACCAATATGGTAGCATAACAGAGTAGTAAATAATTGTGTTTTGATTCTATTCAAAATGAATTTTTTAGAAAAACTAAAAATTAACAATAGATTAAAAAAGTTGTTTTTCTTGTTTATTTGTATTACATATTTAAAAAACTAACAACAATAATTGCTAAACATTTAGTAAAACATATGTTTTAATTAATACATTGTTGTGTAACTTAGTTGCAATATATGTATTGAATACTATATTGTTGCATAATTTAACTTTGTTTTTAATAAAAAATAATTGTACTTACTATTATACTACAAGTATAAATATTTTTTAATAAAAAAATTCATCACTGACAGTTAGTTATATGAAAATGAACATAAAACACAGTATCTCTATTAATATAAAATTGTGACTTTTTAATAAAATCCAACAGGGATTTTATTAAAAAGCCAAAGATTTCATCTTTTACATTCACAGCAACCTTTAACTATTCCAGCCTCAATAAATTAATTTTTTTAATGTTATTCACCTGCCCAAGGCTGTGTGAAATAAACCTGGTTATGGAGAACTTCTTATTTTGAAGCTGCTGTTAGGTAATAAATAAGTTAATTTTAAATTGTAAATAAACAAGTAAATAAATCAAAAAACAAACAAATAATTAAATATCATCATAAATTAATAAAAAACAACTTATGTCTAGGTAATAAATAAACATGAGGAGATCATCAGGTTTTATTAGAATAAGCTAAAAGTTAGATCACCCGCATACGATTGCAATAGATGCACTCTAGTTTGGCAAGAAGACGTTAACCACAGATACACTTAACAGAGCAGATGTAAGGGAACACTCCTGAAAATTAAGAAAACTTTTTTTGTTACCATGCAGTGCCATGCTTGGTATTTAACAAAACAGTTAGTTTTGCTGGTCCTAGCAGACAATGATATTTAAAAAGAGGTAAAGAAAACGTTGGAGGAGTTGGTCAAGTGTGATGTTCCTGAGCAGTTTTATATCTGTAAACTGATGCTAATGATTATTAGCAGGTCGACAGTGCCTACTGAACTTGTTGCCTCCCAGAGCTAGATCCTGTTCTAGGTAGGTAAGATTCATTTTGAAGAGGTAGAGAAGTGGATCAAGAGCAATGTTAGTCAATCATTTGATATATTCTAAGTTTATGAAGCTGATTGAATGTATCAATGACTGTGCTGAAAAAAATATCCAACTGATCAAGGGCTTTGCTGGAGACTGGAGACAAGTCAGACAATATGAAATAGAGCCATATGTTGGTCACCGTAAAGATCTTAAAAAGGATTTGAAAAAGAAGCACCATCAAAAATGTTTATTTTTTTAACTGGAATTATTGAGTTAATTCTATAATCTGAAATTTTTTTTTTAATAAAGTTTTACAGATATCACTTCTACATGAATAAAAAATTTGATTTTGGCAATTTTAGTCTGTTTGGACCTAAGAAAAGATTATTTTTTTTAAGTATACAACACTTTATCTTTTATTAAATAAAAAAAATCTAAACCACCTTAACAATTTCGATTTTATACCATAAGCCTATAATTTTAATACATTCATGTTCAGCAAAATATTAGGTTAATGGAATTATTTATATTTCCCATTACTTCATATTTCAAAAGATATTAAAAAAATATTTAACTTATTTAATATTTGTAATTTTAAGTATCCAATCCAAATTTATTGGGATAATTTTTTATTGGGACTAGCTTCTAGAATTTATAAAGGAAATGTTTTAATTTAACAGTTGGGTTATAATTTTCTTTTATTAAATAATCCTATTTAAATATGACCTTGGTTTTCTTTGAAAGTGGTCTGCATATCAATATGGTAGCACCATAGTGGTATGTAAATTCACCAACATTTTATAAGAAATTTTCTGTAAAAAAAGTGCAAGGAATTAAATACCTAAACAAAATAGATCAATAAATAAAAGGATCTAAAAACAAAGGCACAGGTACACAGGTATTTTAAACATATAAAATAACATTAAGGAATAATGTAAATTGTATGTTTTGTAAATATTTTAAAGATGTGTGTGAAATTTAAAACCTTTGAACTTAATTTATGTTATGCTAAATATATATTTAGATGGCAGCTTTGGGTATTATTCTTACCCTAGTTTTTCATCCTATAAGCTTTTTTAACTCTTCTCAACACCTCATGCATTATTGTTAACAATATTATAATTTTATAAAAATCAAAAAAAAAATTATTAATTTCTCACTGCTGCTTTATGATGGCCGCGCTGACAAGCATAATGTAATGGAGTGGAACCGTGGTAGTTAGTAGCATTTATAATTGCTCCTTTTTTAATGAGCTCATAAAGAATGTCCACACAACCTAAATTATATGATATAAAATAATAATCAAACAATTCTTTTTTAAACCACAACAAAAATTTATAATAAAAACAGGTTTTTTGAGATAATCAACTAAGTTTTTAAAAAAGTTTTTATATAATTACATAAACTTTATGTAAAATTGTAACTAAATGTGTAATAAACCATATAACTATGTACAATTGAATAGACCACACAGCTATATACAATTTTATAGATCGCATACATACACATTGAGACATGATATTGTTACAACATAATGTTTCTGTAGCTTATTTTGATGAAGTTTTGCATAATATTGAACTGAACTGAACAGAAAATTCTGCATCATTTTGATTGAATGTTTGGCACAGTGATTGCTTCTTGGTATCTCTATTATAGATGAATATTGCTTCCAGCAATTTTTCTCTATTATAGATGAATATTGCTTCCAGCAATACTTTTTTGTATAGGTGAAATATCTGTCAACTTTCATACCTTCACCAAATTCATCCTAGTTGTAGATATATGAATGAATACAAAAATGGCTAGAATAGTCAATTGTACCATACATTAATGATGTTTGAAATCACCACACATTACTGATGTTAGAAATCATCACGCATTACTGATGTTAGAAATCACCATGCCAAACTGATGTTTAATATTATCAGGCATTAATGATGTTTGAAATCACTGTTCATTACTGATGTTAGAAATCACCATGCATACTGATGTTAAAAATCACTGTGTATTACTGGTGTATAAAAATTTTCTAAAAATTAATCAATAAAAATTCTTCATTGATAAATTTTTAGAAAAGATTATCAAAGAATTTAAATTCTTCTTTAAGTTCCTCATATTTACTTAACAGGTCAGGAACAATTGGATACTCAATGTTTTGCAACTTGTTTCTGCCATTAATCTCTTCATCCATCACCACACAGAGAACTCTGTCCAGAACATAGTGCAAACAGCTGATAAATTGCTGTTTGTTGACGTTACTTCAAAAACATTTTGCGCAGTTGGCCAATACTCTTTTTTTTTCTCAGTGTTATTACTAGTTATATCAGCAATGATCACTTTGATTGAACTCCAATGTTATAAAAACTAGAATGTTATAAAAAGATGTAAACAGCTGTTAAAAATTCAAGAAAAAAAAAATTATACTTATTAGAAATATACTTCTTAATAGTATACTCCTAACAGAATAACAAATTTGATACATTGAGAAAATAAATCATAAATTTTATCACAGTTTTTACTATCCGCTGTGTAATTTGCATGGCTATAAATATGCTATGCAATTTACTTTGTGATTTCCATAGCTTAAAAAAAAACAAAGTTGAGATTTCACAATATTTAAATAATTTTATTTAAACTATTTTGTGACACATAATTTTTTTAATTTGTGAAACTAAGATTTTTTTTAGTTCGTGACACTTACATTTTTTTTTATTTTTTGATATAAATAATTTTTTTTTATTTTGTGACACTAAACATTTGTTTTATTTTGTGACACTAACATTCTTTCAGCTTGGTAACACTAATATTCTTTTAATTTTGTGACATTAACACTCTTTCTGTTTTGTGACACTTACAATCTTTCTATTTTGTGACATTAACATTCTTTCTACATTGTAATATTAACATTCGTTCTATTTTGTGACACTAACATTCTTTCAATTTTGTGACACTAAAATTCTTTTTATTTTGTATCTTTTTTTTAATCTAATTATCTTAAGTTTTTGATTTTTTTAAATTCTTTTTTTAATAAATTTTCAAGATTCAATATTCAATGCATTTTAAAATATTTGTATTTTTTATATATTATATATTATTTTATAGTGTACTTTATCATATGATAATATTTATTTATAACCTGGTTGATTTCGATTTCCACACATAATTTAACTCACCGAATTCAGCTGCTTGATGAAGTGCAGTACAGCCCAAAGCATCTCGAGAAAAAACAGTGACTGCAGCTGGATCTCTGCGCATACTAAAAAAAGACTCAAATTTAATTTCGCTTATTTATTAGTTGATTTCATTCTTTTTTTAACTTTTTCTTTTAACTTAATCAATAAAATTTAAAAACTATTTAAAATTCATTTCAGTAAATTTAAAATGAAAGTAATCTAAAATTAAAGTTGAAAGAAATTATAAAAATACTTTTTATGAAATACTTTTAAAAAAATAATTAAATATTAAAAGTAAATGAAACAAATAAAATTAAAACAAATAAATTATAATTATTAAAGATAAAGAGTAAATTATAATTAATTACTTATTTAATAAATATAAAAGTTTATTTATTTAAAATTTTTTAAAACCATCAATTAAACTTACCAGGGATTATTGAGATCATATTTTAAAAATTCGGAAAATTTATTCCTAAAAATATCTGGAAAAAATCCAGAAAATATTTTTAAGAAATACCCAGAAAAAATCCAGAAATTTAAATGCATTTTGTGTAAGGGTCCTCCATAAAGTAGGTGTGCAGTTATGGGGGAAGGGAAGGATGGGGAAGGAAAGGGAAGAAAGGGGGAGGGGGAAGGAGGGAGGTTTGCGCAAAAACGTACAAATGCTTGCAAGAGAGGGGGTGTTAAAGACAGAGAGTAGTAAACACAGTTTTTAAAAAATCTTTCAAAGGGGGGTTGAGTTTTTGATAAATAAAGTGGAGGAGGAAGAGTCATTGAGAGCATACAAATGCATACAAGGAGGGGGGGGGGGAGAAAGGGGGTTTAAATCAGTGGTTTTAGAGCCTGAGTACTTTATGGATGCCCCTAAACTAAAAATACCTTATGTGTTTAAAAAGAAATTCATTATTTGTACGCTCCTACAAATAATGTGCACATAATAATATCAACGTTGTTTATTTTTTTTAATTTTAATTTTTTTTAAATAAGTTTTATTTTGAAGTAGTTTTATCTTTTTTAACTCATCATTTATTTTTATTTATTTTTAAATTTTCATAAAGTAAGTACATCAATGTGTAGTCACAATGGAGTGTACATATATCAACTTACTTCAATAGGGATAGGCACAGTGGAGTTTACATACATTGACTAAGAGTTGAGGTTTTGGCAGGCATTCATATAAAAAAAGAAAATCCCTGAAACTTACTTCAAAATCATCTTCTCACATGAATCACAAGAACATAATGGGTGACACATTAATTCTTTAATTTCTTGCATTGTCAGAGTGTTATCATTAATTAACTTTAAAACTGCACTCAGATTTCCTGCTCTTATAAGCTTAAATTAAAAAAAAAATTATTATCTTTCATAATCATTGATTACAATGTATAGAAAAATAAGAATAATAATATAAAACATATTACTTCAAAAAAGTTGTCTACGGGAGATATGGGCGTGTATTTATCAGCGGAATCCATTCTTTGAAAAAGACTATCAACCACAATCAGCCTCTTAAAAACAGAATTTATTACTTATATTACATCAAAATAAAAATATAAAAGAATAGAAAAGAATTAAATTAATCTTCGTTTTCAAAAATCAATTTTACTATTTTTCAAAATTTAATTATTTTTAAATGAAATTTTACTTGGGCTTGCGTCATGGACACAACATTATCCAGCTGTCCACTTCTTATGTGTTCAATAGCTGCTTCAACAGACGACAAATAAAACCTTATAACAAAAAATAAATTAAGACATGATTAGGTATATAGATGGACTGGCTTAGAGATATAAATGAAGTAGGACACCAATAAAAATAATGAAAATAAACTTATCTTAAAAATAAAAAAAAATCAAACATTTTTCTTTAAATTGATAAATCAATTATTTGAACTTATAAGTAAATATTAAACCAAACATTTCTTATGAAAAACTAATCATGCATGATAGCATTCTTAGAATCTTAGATCAAAATTTTATAAAAAGGTGCACAATAAAAAATGTGCACATAAAATATTTGAAAAATTAAAAACCAAAAATGATTAAAAAATTAACAGTGAATAGAATTATTACAAAGTAAAATAAGAAACAAAAAGCTTGGATATTTATTTACAAAAATAAACTAATATTTCTATTTGTAGTATTTACATATATTGCAAATATGTATATATTATATAATTTATGAATTTGTAGACATATATTTTAAATTCACTAGCTAAAATAGTTCATTTAAATCGGTTAGGCTTGTATCGCGACAAGCCTAATAATAATGCAAAAAAATCAAGGCCTCAACTTGACAAAATCAGAAAAAATATTATAAAAGTTTTCAAAAACATTGGCTTCCAAATTGAAATAAACATTAATTTAAAAATTTTGAATTTTCTTGATGTTACATTTAACCTCTCAAAAAATTCTTATAGGCCTTATAAAAAACCTTATGATGAAATATCGTATATTAATATAAATTTGAATCTTAAAACAAATTCCTATTTCAATTAACAATAGACTAAACCAAAACTCTTCAATGAAAATATTTTTAACTCTTCAAAACCCATGCATGAAGATGCCCTTTAAAAATTTTGAGCTAAAATTTGAAACAAAAATTGCAAAAAAGTGAAATATAAATAGAAATATATTTTGGTTCAACCCTCCATACAGCAAAAATGTTTCAACAAATACTGAAAAAGTGTTTTTAAAATTAGTCGACAAACATTTCCCTCCCTCTAATAAATTGCACAAAATTTTTAACAGAAACACTATTAAGGTAAGCTACAGCTGTACAAAAAATATTGAAAGAATTATAAAAGGACATAATTTTGCATTGATCAATAAAAATGTATTTCTCAAAAATAAATTCGCAAAACAACTCTGACAAACAATATATTGGCTTAACTGAGGGCAAATGGAAAAAACATTATGCCAACCACAAACAATCTTTTAAACATAAAAAATACTCAAAAGAGACTATGCTGTCAAAGTATACTTGGCAACTAAAAGAAAAAATTACTTTTAAATTAAACTAGTCTATTCTAAAAACGGTGCCTGCCTATAACAACATTTCCAAAAAATGTATACTATGTTTACAAGAAAAATTTGAAATTATTTTATATATATATATATATATATATATATATATATATATATATATATATATATATATATATATATATATATATATATATATATATACATATATATATACATATATATATATATATATACATATATATATACATATATATATACATATATATATATATACATATTTATATATATATATATATATATATATATATATAATATATATATATATATATATATATATATATATATATATATATATATATATATATATATATACTTATATACAATATATACTTATATATATTGCATGTTTATTTACAAAGGCATCTTGGCCTGCATGAAGTATGAAGGTGTTTGTTGTTTCAAACTATTTGATGGAAGGCTTGATTCTCAAAGATATTTAGACATTAGATAATTGTTTAATGCCTTCTATTAACATTTTTGAAAAGACATGGAAATTATCTTCCAACAAAGTAATGCTCCATGTCATACTGCTAAGATTTGCAAGCAATGGTTTGAAAAAGACAGCATTAAAATCATGCCTTACTCTGTCAATAGTCTAGATCTCAATTGCATAGAGAATTTGTGGTCTTGGTTAGACCACAATCTTGTGGTCTAACCAGGCCAAGACATGATTTTAATGTTGTCTTCTTCAAACCATTGATCTGGAATTAAATAAATTCAAAGTAATATCTTCCAAAAGATATTACTTTGAATATAGTGAACTCCGTGTTAAAACGGATCAATGAATGCTTAAAAGCTAAATGATTGTCAACAAAATATTTTTTTTTTTTTTCATATTTTGTAAGAATTTTTTTTATTATGGTTTCTTAACTTTGTTGTTGTGGTTTATTAATTTTGGCCACATTTTTTTTTTTTTTTGGATACATAAAAACACTTATTTTCATTTCATTATTTGCACCTTGTTAGAATATTGCTCCGGGTGCACAGTGCACCCGGAGCAATATTCTAACAAGGTGAAAATGGTGCACCTTGTCACACAGCTTGTTCCCTCAAGCAGTATCTGCAGCGCAACAAAGTCATAGTGTTGAATTGGTTGGCTTCATCATCTGACATAAATCCTATTGAAAATTTGTGGATGATTGTTAAGCACAGAATTGCAACCAGAAAGGCGTAAACAAGAGTGGCGTTGATAAATGCACTAACAGATGTCTCGGTACATGACCCAGAGATACAGAAAAAATGCTAAAGATTTTTGATTTCTAGAATGCCCAAGAGGGTTAAAGCACTTGTGATTTGATTCTGATATTTTTAATAAAACTGTGAACTTGCGTAAATTTTTTGCTTTGATTCTAATATTTTCAAATATTACAAAATTATAAGACAATTTTACAAAAAACGTATTGTTTGGAAACCGCAGTAGTGGGCAATTAAGAATATTTATTTGATGTAGACATCACAGTTGATTATTTAAATGTAAACTTTTTTAAACTGCCAAAAATTTAATTTAGATTTTTCTTTATAAAGTATAAAATAACAAGTTAATTAATGATGGGTCGTGCTGCACTGTTGAGTCCAAATAAGAAAAATGCTCTTTAACTTATCAAAAATGGGTCACTCTGTTAGCTACATGGCTAGAGCTATTTGACGCAGCTAAACTATGATTAAAAACTACGTTAATAGTTCTCATATGTATAGAATAAAAAAAAGTCCCGGACGTCCATCAACATTAAGTGATCGCAATAGGCGAAGGTTGTTGAGACAAGCTTCAAACTCTTCATTAACTGCATGTCAAATTGCTGCAGAAGCAGGCGTGATTGATAATTTATGTACATTTCAGCGAGTTATTCATATTGCCTTTCACCATTTGCGCAAAAGACTTCAGCAAAAACCAACTTTGACAACAAATCACATAAACAATCGAATAACTTTTGCAAAGGACCACATAACATGGAAAGAAGAGTGGCAACAAGTAGTACTTTCTGACCAAAAATGATTTTGTCTTGATGGGCCGGATAGATGGAATCATTATTTTCATGATTTGTGTAAAGAACCAGTAACACAGCAACGATGTCAAATGGGTGGTGGTGGTGTAATGATTTGGGGTATCATGGTAAATCAAAAATTCATTTTATTGACGGAAAAATGAAGGCTAAAGATTATCTTTTAATTGTTCAAGAATTCTTATGAAATGTAGCCTCTGTCATTGGTAGTGAAAATTTTGTTTTTCAGTGAGGTAATGTTAACATTCATACAGCTAAGATAGTAAATGAATATTTTAACAGCAGTAAAATTGAAACATTGAAGTGGCTAGCTAGATCTCCAGACCTGAACATTATTGAGAAAGTTTGGGCGTTATTGAGAATGTTTGGGCACAACTGTCACATATTGTATTTGGAGGTGGTAAACAATATAGTTCACTAGCTGACTTGAAATCATCCATGTATCTGCATAGGATGCAATTGACATTTCGCACATCAAAAAGTTGGATGATTCTTTACCTTCTAGAATAATTAAAGTGATTCAAAAAAAACAGTATAAGTACCCACTATTGATTGTTTAAAATTGAGACGCCTTTTTATAAAAATGACAATTTATATGAATTTTTTCCAAAAGTGTCGTATAATTTTGTCACACTAATAAAACAGTTTTTTTTTTTTTAATAAAATGTGAGTTAGGTTTAAAATAAACTTTTTAAAAATTTGTTTAGTCTTGTAAACCTTTTGCTTTATAATATAAATTATATTGTAAATATAAATGTATAGTAGAGTCTTATAAATATTTTTGGGGTGTCTTATCATTATGTCGCACAGGGGATCCTAATATATCATTATATTTTATATATAAGAACTAAGTTTTTATCTCAAACTTACTTCTTATATATAAAATTACTAAATACAACAAAAATATTGGTTTGAGACATCTGTAAGAGCTTGGTGTAAAGCCTTAAAATTTTGAAAATTGTCAATTTTTGTCATATTTTTCAATTTTGTTCATATTTTTTATATTTATATTATTTTAAATTTATTTTAAATGCAACAAAAAATTGTTTGGTCATGAGAATGATTTTTTTTTAATTTTTTTTTTAATAAACTTTTACTTATTACTTTATCAACTTTTACTTATTACTTTATCAACTTTTACTTATTACTTTATCAACTTTTACTTATTACTTTATCAACTTTTACTTATTACTTTATCAACTTTTACTTATTACTTTATTTTAGTGTCCACTGCTATTTGTTATTTATAAAAATATTTAATCCGCTTAATATACATAAAATTTAAAATGGTTATAAGATTTTTTTTTTTTTTATAAACAAGTATGTATATTATAAGTAAATAAGTATATTTAAAAAAATGTGTAGTACAAAAAAAAGATCAACAAAAAAGAACCAAACAAGCACACTGTTCAGAGAAACAAAGCAAGCACACAGTTCAAAGCAATTTAAGAAAATCTCTAAATATCCCATAAATAAGTTTCCAGTTAACTAGCTACCTACTTTCAGAAATATCCACCAATATTTTGACTTTTTTAAAAACCCAAGGTAATTCTAATATCTAGATTTTATCTAATTTATTTACTTAGCCCAATAAATATAAATATATATTTGAATAAATTTTCTTTTATCTAAGAGCACCAGGTTACAATCCAGCAAAGAAATTGCCTGTCCAACAAAAACAAA